TACTGCAAGTTTATATATGATTGTTGGATGTTTGATTAACATCTGTGGCAGCCACCTCCGAGGAGACCACCAACAATTCCAAGGACACCACCGAGGAGTCCATTGAGGTTGAGGTTGACATCCAGATCAATGTCAATGTCAATTCCTCCGTGTCCACCACATCCACCGCAGGCCACTCCATTGGCACCCTGTCCGGAAGCTCCACCAAAGTTACCGACGACGGCACTCTTTGACATTGAGGTGGCAGAAACGTTGCCCATGGAAGTAAGAGATTCTACAAGTGAGTGATTGATTGAGGTTAGGCTTTGCTTTAAGAGCTATTAAGCGTAAGAGGGTACATACTCAAGATGGTCATTTTAGATTAGGTATTGGAATTATTTAAGAGATAATTGATTGATTTGATTGTTTGATGATGTAATAATTGATGACACCGGTGACCTTTTTATATCTTTTTACTCCTTGATGGCTTGATTGGAGGAGATGATAGAGTTACCTTTCAGTTCCAGTGATGACCCTCAGGACCACAACACCATCCATTCAATCCATTGATTGATTGAAGGTTACTCGCCCAACTGATGACCTCACCAAGTTGCGGTACACATCACTGTTTCTTTAAACTCACATGTTTGTTGGGTTCTCGTCAAACTTGGAAGATATATATACAACCCAAAGTCTCCAATATATGTAAGCCATATGACTCTACCAATTAAGGCATTCAATTAGAAGTGTGTGTGTTAGATATATCCATATGCCATTGAGATAGTATATGTGTTTGATTGATTGATTTATTAAATATGTGTGGGGAGTGACCAAACCACGTGATTGATGTGAGTAAAGTGGTTAGAGTGTGATCGTTAGGTAATGATACATCACTTATACTTAAGAGGGTACACACATCAGGTGTCAATCAATCAATATTGATGATGATGTATTAACACTCACACTTGATGAGTGAGGTGTTAGAGTTTCTAACAATCGCATGCGTGTATCTCATCACTCAATGGAACGGTATTAATTGAATAAGATCCACTCTCACCTGATTGATTGATGGATGGTGTTGTTGGCAATCTATCAATCGACGAATCAATCAAAGTTAATCACGAACTCACTCACTAAGTCAATCAGTCAAACTCGCCACTATCAGGCGAGCACACATACACTCATCCATCTACACGTTGTTGCTCCATCTCAGTCAACTAACTCAACGTTCCCAAGAAAGTGTGCACCTTATATTATATTGAAGTGTCTCCTAAAGGGTGAGAAATTTGACGTTTGAGGGTGCATCATCCACTACCATCCAACCAACTAACCAACTAACCAACCAACTAGCCAAACATGAGTGATCAATCAATCAATCATATTTCGAGGTGATTGAACGAGATTGAAATCCAAGAATCCTGTTAACTCCTTAAATGGTAGTGTGAGTAACATCCAACTTTAATTTGATTGGCTACACCACTGCTAACCAACTAATGTTGGTCATGGGGCATCCAATATATGTGCCCCATTAGAGTTATAAACATTGCTATTGTGTCAAACACCAATTACCAGTTCTCGTGGCAATGCCCATCATGCCATACCAACTGCTGTCATCTGATCTATATTGTATAGTGTTGTGGTATGGCATCATTCAATTTGGAATAGTAGTGTCTATTGGAATCCATGGATATAAATATAGGTCTTTAAAGACCATTCCACATCATCAAACAATCAAAGCAAATCAAATACCAAGTATCTACTCTACTCTTAAATAATATCCTAAACATTCTAAAATGACCATCTTGAGTATGTACCTTACCCTACCCTACCCTCACCATACTCTACCCTCTTTAGCAAAAGCCTAACCTCAATCAATTAATCAAACTATTATAGAATCTCTTACTTCCATGGGCAACGTTTCTGCCACCTCAATGTCAAAGAGTGCCGTCGTCGGTAACTTTGGTGGAGCTTCCGGACAGGGTGCCAATGGAGTGGCCTGCGGTGGATGTGGTGGACATGGCCTTGGACTTGACATTGATATTGATGTTGATGTCAACCTCAACCTCAATGGACTCCTCGGTGGTGTCCTCGGAATTGTTGGTGGTCTCCTCGGAGGTGGCTGCCACAGATGTTAATCAAACATCCAACCATCATCATATATAAACTTGCAGTAGCTCACCAAATAGGTGTGTATACTTCCTTCCTTCCTTCCCTCCATCCATGATCCATCTAGTTTGTGTACAATTATTTCTTTTGATTATTCAGTGATCGGAAGGAGTGAGTAATGGAACTTCGATCAAAGTGATTGGAGGCGGAATGTGGCGAAACGAAAAAATTAAAAAAAATAATTGAGTGGCTGTGATGATGATCATTCTCCCCAGTCTTGAATCATTCATTCTCACTCACTCACGCTCATTCACCCCTGACGCAGACTCAGTTGTCTCTCACACATCATAGTGCTCCCAACAAACACATAAAGATATATTTTATATATTATTATTATTATAATATTTCTTGTATATTAGAACAGAGACCAGACGACAGACAGACAGATAAACAGCAGCAACAACAATGTTCAAGTCATTCGCTAGATCATCAGCCTCTTTGCTCAAGACCAACAGCAGCAGCGTTGTTGGCAGAAGATCGTTCGCCACCGAGACCGCCAACGAGGAGCTCTTGACTTTCTCGTTCATGGTGCCACATCAGATCCTGTTCAAGGAGAAGCGTGTGCAGATGCTCACACTGCCAGGCGCCCGCGGCGTGTTTGGTGTGCTCAAGAACCACATCCCAAAGATTGCCGAGTTGAAGCCAGGCGTCGTCCAGGTGCACCACGAGTCGGGCGACATTGAGAAATACTTCATCAGCGGAGGCTTCGCCTTTATCAACCCAGACGCTTCATGCTACATCAACGCCGTCGAGGCCGTCCCCGTCGACCAGCTCGACGCCGCCGAGGTCAAGACCGGTCTGGCCCGCTACACTCAACTCTACAACGAAGCCGCCGACGAGACTGCCAAGGCTACCGCCTTGATCGGTCTGGAGGTTCACCAGCAGATGGCATACGCTGTCGGTGTTGCTCTTTAAATTCTTTAACTTCTTAACAAACATACAACAACAACAATCCAACTCACACAAATACAACAACGAGCAGCAACAGCAACAGCATCAGCAGCAGCATGGTGTGAACGGTGACAATCACGCACAACTAGAAATAGCAAGGTGTGGAGGTATACCTTCAACAACAACAGCAGAAGCAGCAATAGCAGCAAGTACTATACACATCCAAGTAGTATGGCATGATAAACATATATATAGTTATAATCAAACCAAGCAATATCATTTCATATGATCGACTACAATCATTTATCGATACAATCATTGATTGATAACAACAACAAAACGACAACAAACATCAACAACAACAAATTTGATCATGCCTCAGTGAGCGATCAATCAACTTGTTGAGCCGGTTCATCCTTTGGACACACATACATCAACAACAAGGTCAATCGGAGTGAAGATCATGATTCTCAAGTCCGTGATATGAAATGAGGAAGGAGTAGGTGAGGAGTGATCGGGGATCAATCCAATGAGAATGAGTGGGGCATGGGAGAATGGAATGGTATTGAGTGATATATATTGGTTGAATGAATGATGTGATCAAGATCAATCAACATCAAGTCCACTCAATCCATCTGGATGGTCACATGAACCGTTGAGCTTATCCCTGGGTTGCCGAAAGACCAACCACATAATCTTTCATTCTGGACTTCGGATCAAGTTTTTTTGTTTCAAAGAGAGCGCGCAAATTTGAAATTACACACTGTTTCCGTTATTCCAACACATTATTGTTGACAAAGACAATCGATGATGGTCACTTGTTTGATACATATAATAATAATAATAATAACTTAACGTAGTGTATATATGTGTAATTGTTGAGCATTCAAGTATTCTCAATAATAGTAATCACCTATTATCATTCAAACAACATTGTAAATAAGTAAAAGGAACAACAACAAAGAATGGCAGATCAAGATGAACAGCCATCAGGCTCAATAGAGGATCGCATAACACATAAGAACTGGAAGTGGCGTGTTAGTGGCTTTGAAGAACTCACCACAAAGTACAAGAACTCATTCGATACTACTGGTCCACTGTTTAACGAGCATGGTATGTCTATCATCTCACTCATTCAATCAATCAATCAATCACTCACTGACCCTCACTTGACACTATATCTAGGACCCAACTTCAAGAAGTACTTGGCCGATGTCAATCCAGTGGTGCAGGAGAAGGTGTTGGATACACTGGCAGCCTTTGTAGACAGATGTGACAATGTTAAATCGTTCGCTCCATCGTTCGTACCGGTGATGATTGAGAAATGTTTCTCGACCACCAAGACAAAGGTCAAAGAGAAGACCATCGAGCTCTTGCTAGCCGTAATCGAAGCAGACTCACCAGACACAGTAATTGACAACCTAATGAAAGGAACAACCAACGGTTCCCTCAAGATTATAACATCCTCATTGGTAGTATTGCGTGAGGCTCTAAAGTATGTTCAATCATTCATTCATTCATCAACAGTATACTCATAACTCATAACTCATATAATAGGACGTTTGGACCAAAGGTTGTACAGGTCAAGCTTATATTCAAGCAGTACCAACCATGGTTTGAGCATCGTGACAAGGCAGTGAGAGAGGAGGCCACTGCACTGATGGTCGAGATATACAGATGGATGAAGAAGGCTATCCTTCCTCTAATTGAATCACTTAATCCCATCCAAGTATGTTTGATTGATCACTCACTCACTCGCTCTCATTCACTCATTCGCTAACTCATTCAATCACTCACTCAATTACTCCGCGAACCAACAGCTTAAAGCATTGAATGATGCATTTGATAGTCTACCAGATGAGCCTGTTGTGCCATTGAGGTATATGAGGAGTGAGGCTGCAAAGGCACAGGCTGCCGCCGCTTCAAGGGCAGCTGGAGGTAATGGAAACGCCGCGGCAGCAGCACAACAGGTGGAGGAGATTGATCCTTATTCAATGATGGATCCAATCAATGTACTGAACAAGATAACGAATGAGTTCTACGAGGGCATGGAGTCAAAGAAGTGGCAGGAGCGTCAGGCCCAGATCGACAGCCTCGTCGACATCCTACAGTCAGCGAAAAAGATTGAGAATGGCGACTTCCAGACGCTGGCCAGAGTGCTAAAGAAGACCTTGGCCGACACCAATGTCATGATCGTGACCAAGGCCATCGTTGCCATTGGTCTGCTCGCGGAGGGCCTTCGCACACAGTTTGCCACACATGCCAAGGCCTTTGTCATCCCCATCATGGAGCGCTACAAGGAGAAGAAGCCACAAGTGGTGCCAGCGGTCCACGCCACCATGGAGCAGATCCTAACGCGCACCTTAGCAATCGGCGACATCATCGAGGATATGTTGTCGATCCTCGGTAACAAGGTACCACAGATCAAGATTGAATCGTTGAACCTGTTGTACAAGGTTATCTCGACGACAAAGAAGCCACAGGACATTGTCAAGGTTGCCAAGCAATTGGCCGCGGCTCTGATGGAGTGTCTGAATGACACAGCCGAGCCAGTACGTGATGCTGCAGCCAAGGCTTTTGCCGCTCTGGCCGCCATGCTTGGCGAGCGTGCGGTGGCGCCATACTTTGGCCAGATTGATCCGATCAAGGTCAAGAAGATCAAAGACCTCATGCCAGCCATTGTCGTTCCAGTCCCACAGGCGGTGGTCGTGGAGCAACCCGTCGCGTCTCCTAGCGCCGGCGCCACATCAAAGAGACAGGCACAAACAAAGAGCAGCGGTCCAGCATCATCATCATCACCATCAGCGAGCAACAACAACAACAACAACCTGGTGGACCTCGCAAAAAAGTTATCACAGTTGGTACCATCAAATGTTCTCACTTTGCTAGAGAGCCAGAGTCTGAAGGACCGCGTGGAGGCCACCGAGGCCATCTTGGAGGCCGTGGCCTCACAGTCCCAACAAGACATTGCCGAACTACTGATACAGTATCTTCATGAGAAGCCAGGCTGGAAGGAGGTCAACTTCCAGGTGACCAACAATCACCTCAGCATCATTGGCGCGCTGGCCAAGCACGATCAATCATTCACCAAGGCCTTGTTGCCACTGTTTGTCAACGCCGTCGTTGATAAGCTCACTGACGTCAAGCTCAAGGACAAGGCATCAGAGACCCTGCTGGACGTGTCCGAGGCTGTCTCGCCACAGGCCGTCAGCCAAGCCATCTACTCATTCGCACTCAATCACAAGAATACCAAGGTGACCGAGCACGCGCTGCTCTGGATCAACGTAGCCATCGAGGAGTTTGGAGTAAACAGCCTGCTTTTCAAGCCACTGTTTGACTTCCTCAAGGCCTGTCTGGACTCGTCGTCTGCGGCCGTAAAGAGCACAGCCGTTCGCGTGCTTTGCACCCTGCGCATGGTGTTTGGACCGGCGCTCATGGACTACCTCTCAGATGTCAAGCGCATACTGTTGGATCTGGTCGACAAGGAGTTTGCTAAGGTCAAGGACCAGCGACTCAAGGCCCACATCAGAGTGTCGCGCGTCGAGGATGAGGTACCACGCGTGGATATCACACCAAAGTTAACCACCTTACTGCTGGCCAACCTGAGCGATACTGATTGGAAGCAGCGACAGTCGGCATTGGAGGAAATTGAGCGCATCCTGCTCGACGCCAATCTTTGTATCCAGCCCAGACTTGGCTCGCTCGTCAACTGTCTCGCCAAGGGCTCGCTGACCGACAAGAACCAAAAGGTTATCTGCACGTCGCTCACACTGGTCGGTCTGTTGTCCAACTCGATCGGACTGGCCTTTGACAAGTCGGCAAAGACCCTACTGCCTAGCATCCTGGCACTGCTCGCCGACATGAAGAAGCCAATCAGAGACGCCGCTCTCACCCTGATGACCCAGCTGGTCGAGGTCCAAGGTCTAGACATATTTATCATCCCAATCAGCGCGCTGCTACTCCAAGAGTCGGCCACAAGCCGCAAGGAGGCATTGGCGTGGCTCGTCAACTATCTGTCCATGTTGAGGTCGACCGCCGAGCTGACCAATCTCATCAAGCCAATCATAGTGTGTCTGCAGGACAAGAGTGCAGAGGTGCGTGTGGCCACTGAGCAACTGCTCTCTGCCATCTGCCCCAATGTGCCCCTGGACCTATTCAAGAAGGAACTAGCCCGTGATATCAAGCCATCCAGTCTTCCAGCGATCCAAGCAATCATTGAGAAGCATTACAACTCAATCAACAGACGTCCACAGACTACCACCACGACAACGACCACTACCACGACCTCAGCCAAGACAACAACAGCCAGCAAGCCACCTCAGTTTGTTCCTATCGCACATACTGTAGCCGCCGCGCCATCCACCAAGGCCACCACCCCAGCGGCATCAGCCTCACACACTCACACTGGCGACATTGTCATTGGCAACCCCAATGGCAAGTTGATGCGCCAAAAGGCAGCAGGCACCAATGGATTCTACTTCCACGACACAGAGGACGTTATGGAGACTTTGCAGGAGCAAGTGTTTTCTTCGTTTAGCGAGATGTTTGCCAACATGATGTTCTCGGCCAATCCAACACATCAACAGCAGGTCGTCGAGAGTCTCTCTGCGTTGATGGCCGATGACGACACTGTCGACTTTGGCATCAGCGTGCTGGACACCGTGTTCAAGTGGTGCTCATTCAAGTTGTTTGATCTGGGCGTCGCATCACTCAAGCGCACGACCGGCCTGATCGAGGCAATAGCCCAGCGCCTGAAGCAACTGGACTATACACTCAATGACTACGAGACAGGCTGCATCCTACCCGTCGTGTCTGAGAAGCTGGGCACATCGAACGAGACCTTCAAGCAGTCACTCAGGGCCTGTCACCAGCCCCTGTCCGAGGTGATTCCACTCAACTTCCTGTTCAAGTACACTCTGGACGTCTCGTTGAGAACCGCCAACTGGAGGACCAGACTCGAGAGCGTCACATTGCTTGGTGCCCTCATCGGTCAGCATGGCGCGGCGATCTGCGGCAACAACAACGGACTAAAGGCAACAGTCAGCGCAATGATCACAACAATGTCTGATCGTGATCCCAAATCCAAGCAAGGTGCATTCGATGCCATGTCCCAGTTGTACACTCACATTGGAGACGACATTTGGAAACACACTGCTGGCACCAACCTGTCCTCAGCCGACCGCACTCAATTGCAATCATTGTTTGCCAACAACACATCTGTCGCAGGCGACATGTCAACTTCCACAAAGTTGAGCGAGTCCACCGCTTGCAAGAGTGTGGCTGCCGCAGCTGATGGCGTCGACGAGGAGACGGCTAAGATCGAAGGATACTTGGCAGTGTTGTCCAACTTTGGCAGCGAGACTATTGACTCAGTGGTCGAGCACATCAAGCTGCTGACCAGCTCACTGGGCGACCAGGCCTTCTTGGAGAAGTTTATGTATTATAGCGAGGAATACTTGGTTGCATTCACCAACATCCTCAACAGCATTATCTCGCGAGTGTTTGACGACCAGTCCATATTCAGACTGTACCAATACGTCATCCACATCACGGTAACGATCTTCTCCAACGAGCTGATCTCAAAGCACGTCACATTGAACGCACTCAAGACATTGCTCACCGAGTCTATCCATCAGGTGGTCGGTCTGGACCGTCCCGAGGACCCCACCAACGACTGGTTGAACCGTGCTCTCAACAAGGTGATACTGTGCACACTGCAGAACAGCAACAATACGGTACTATTCTGTTGTCTCTTGCAGATGGTCACCGAGGCCAGGTCACAACAGATGGACAACTCTGAGAAGTACAATGACATGTTGCTCAGATGTCTGCTAAAGGCCACCAAGTCGCTCAAGACTGGCGCAGCAGCCGGTGCACCAATCGAGCTGGACACCACCGCCATCTTGCAGGCCATCAACATGTTCCTGCAGGAGAACGCCAACCTAGACAGCGCCCTCAAGAAGACCACGACAACTCTCACTCTCGAGGTGTGCAATGCCAAACAGAGTGAGGTCGTCGACTTTTGTAAGAATGTTGTCAGCTCCAACCAGCTGTCAACCTACAAGAATCTCTTTGCTCTGCTCGCCGACCTACTTGGAGGCAAGAGTGCATTTGACAAACTCATTGGATTGAAGGAGAGAGAGTCTGTTGCGTCTGCCAGCAGCCAGGCCGCCGCCAAGCCCTCCACAAGAGTTCCAAAGCTCGCTGACCCAGAGGAGCTAAACATTATGCAACTTGAGACCACCACAACGTCCGCACCCAAGACATCAATGGCACCAACTCCATCAATTGTTCCAGTTGCCGCCGCTCCCTCCATTGTCGCGCCCGTCAAGACAGTACCCGACCCCAAGCAACCTAACAAGGACCCTCGCAACTATGAGTGCTCAAACGACACCGAGCAAAAGGCACTGTTACAGAAGATATTCAAGAAGATTGGCAACAAGGATCACACAACAGATGGCCTCTATGATCTATACTACTTCAAGAAGCAGTATTCAACATACGACATCACGCACAATGTCCAACAGACAACTGAGCCATTCCAAAAGTACATCGCACGCAGTCTGACCAAGATCGAGAATGAGTTGGGCCAACTATCAAAGCAACAAGACGCCGCTCCTCCAGTCTCTAGCAGTGTTGGCGGACACACCTACCAAGACAAGCTGCGAGAGATACAGAATATAATGCCAAACCTTCAGCCAGGAGCCAAGACAGAGTTGTCAGCTGATCAACGTGAGAGCAACCAGCGCGCAGTATCCAGGGCGCAGGAAACACTGAACAGACTGAAAAACCAGAACAAGGACATACCATCAATCACCACTCAGACACCAGTTAGCATGACTACTTCATCAGCCAAGGGACCAGCTCCAGACCTTACATCAACAGTCTCATCACTACGACAACGTTTGCAACAGATAAAGGATACATCATCGTCAACAAGGACAACAGAATGACGAGTCCATGGAACGAATAAATATATAAACTACATATTAACCAAGTTGCTTTAAAGATTGATGATGGCTTGCCAATGTTTATTACTATGATTGGCCCCTGTTGGACAAGTAGTAGAAGTCGTCCTCTGTGAAGTGTTTGAGGTATTTGTCGACGATGGACAGGATGACGGTGCTGCTTCTGATTGGCTTCTGGATAAAGTCATCCATTCCAACATCGAAACACTTCTCGCGATCGCTAGGCGTCACATTGGCCGTCAGTGCAATGACGAATGACCTCTTGTATCGCTTGTCGACCGAAAGTATCTCTCGCTCTCTCTTCCTGATGATCTCGGTGGCTTGGTAGCCGTCCATGTCTGGCATCGAGCAGTCCATGAATATGATGGGGTAGTAGCACTTGGAGAATGCCTCCACTCCCTGCACGCCATTCCAGGCAATGTCAATGTTGTAGCCACCGTCTTTGAGTATGCGAGAGAACACCTTGACGTTGACAAGGTTGTCCTCAACCAACAGAATACGGAACGATGACTTGGACAACTGGGTCGAGTCTGCCATGTCAACGAATCCTCGATCTATGGTGCTGCGTGACTTGCGCGAGAACTCGTCCATCTGAGAGTCGAGGTCAAGCGTTGGCACGCTCATACGACGTGGTGGCGGAGAAGTCGCTTCGAACGTTGGTGACAATGAAGGCGACTTGATCGAGAGTATCTTGGGCGAGACCTTGGCTAGCTCGTTGGCAAGGTTCTGGGAGATTCGCAGACTGATTGGCTCAATCATTGATTGGCTGTAGCCAGAATGTATTTGACTCTTGTTGAACATTGGTGGTGTGCATGATGGTGAGTCAAAGGAGGACGAGAGCAATCCAGGAGAGGACGAATAGTGCATCTTGAAGTGATCGGCATTGAGTGGTGAGTTGGTGATGTTGTTGATGGACATCTGGTCGAATAATGGTTGTTGGTGTTGGTGGAGTGGCAACCTATGTGGCAGCAATGGGTGCATTCGCTGTGTGCTGCTGGTTGGTGGCTCGATCAAGATACTGCTGCTGCTGGTGCTGCCAATGCTGCTTGAGCTGTTGGTCATCATCGTGTCAAAGTTTGGCCTAACTGGCAGTGGAGGCATGTTGTTGTTAGGGGTCTTCTCGACGATTGGGATGCTGCTGCTGGCAGTATTGATCTTTGGCTGATCCTCCTCGTTCTCGATGGTAGTCCTTGGACTGCGGTTGTTCTGGACGAGTCCGCGAGTGATGGCAACATGATCACTGTAGCTGGAGCTACGGTTGTGGTTCAGGTCTTTATGGCGATCGAACGAGCAGCCGTCTGAACTGTTGGAGCGGTACTGACTGGGACGACTGGTACGGTTGTTGGTGAGCAGGAAGTGCATGTCCTGTGGAATGGGCACGCGCTGCAGACCATATAGACATTCAACGACACCTGGCAACTGGATTGGCTTCTTGAGAGTGCCCGAGAAGAATGGATCGACGTTAGGCTGTCGACTGTCACTGATCAACAGCCAGTAGACTAGACAGTTGTCGTTCACAAACTTCATTGCCAGCTTGATCTCTTCAATGTTGGATGGCTCATTGCAGAGAATGATGAAGATCTGTTGTCCACCAGTGCAACGCGTGATTGTGCCACCGCCCTGCAGCAATCCCAGAAGATCCTCCTCGCGTGCCAGAGGCTGCAGCTCTATCTTCAGCATCTTGAAGTACTTGATGGCTGACTCGCAGATGAACTGGTTCTTGTCGTACACAAAGCCCTTGATTGGCGTGCATACAAACTGCTCGTTGTTTGTGTGTATCATGATGTGGTTGGCATTGTACAGCGACAGGGAGTTACTGACCGATGCGAAGGTCGTCTTGTTGTCCGACTGCAACAACGAGGTGAATGAGAATGTTGAGCCGCTACCATACTTGCTGCGCACACCAATGTCTCCACCCATCATATTGCACAGACGCTTGGAGATGCACAAGCCCAAGCCAGTGCCTTGGACGTTGCGTGATGGCAATGTGCCATCGAGTTGCAGGAATGCGGTGAAGAGGCTGTTCAGATGCTCCTCCTTGATGCCAATGCCAGAGTCCTCCACCTCGAACGAGATTGTGTTGATGCACATTGCTGGCTCGCCAGTGGCCTCCTTTCGTACCAGTTTGACGCGCACAATCACCTGGCCCTTGGGCGTGCACTTGATGGCGTTGGAGATGAAGTTGAGCAAGATCTGCTTGACGCGATATGGATCGCCCACGACGATGATTGGTACGTCCTCCTCGACGATCAGAAGCATCTCAAGCTCGCGTTCCTGGGCCGTCTGATAAACGATATTCATCGTCTCCTCTAGCATCGTGATCATGTTGAACTCTATCTTCTGCAGCTCCATCTTGCCAGCTTCAATCTTGGAGAAGTCTAGAATGGCTGTGATCAGGTCCAGAAGGTAGTTGGCTGAGTCTTTGATGCAGTAGAGGAACTCGCGTTGAGTGTAGTTGAGGATGGTGCGTTCGACAATGTCCACCGATGCCAGGATACCATTGATTGGTGTGCGTACCTCGTGGCAGACAGTGGTCAAGAAGTTGATCTTAGCATCATTGATGGCCTCGGCCTTCATCAGTCGTCTCTTGGCACTAGTGTCCACAATCGATACAATCTCAACAAGATCATTGTCATCAAGCTGTAGGCTGGCCCGCTCAATCTTGACCTCCACTGCAAACTGTTGACCATTGGAATTGACAGCAATCGTCTCCATCATATCAGTGCTGTCCACGCTGTTGCTGTCACTGCCATTGCTGTCATTGTTGCCGTTGTTGTTGTGATACTGCTCAGACACCGTGTCAAAGTCTGGCAAGAAGTTGTGGATACGCGAGGGCACTGGATAGAGTATTGAATCATTGCGTACACCAAACAGGTCTTCAAACGTCTTGTTGACATCTACAATAACGCCATTCTTGTGTATAATCAATGCCTCTGAGCTGATATTAAACAGACATCTCACGCGTTGCTCCTTATTAGCCGTCTCCCTCATGTCCTCCCTTATAATACTACTGTACACAAACAACAACACTGATGTTATTGCTGCCAGGACGAGGTTTTGGACGATCTGGATATTGATTGATTGATTGAGCGAGTGAGTGATCATGTGATTGATTGAGTGGAATGGTCCCAGGACAGGGATACTTACACGTTCCTTTGGTGCGTGGAACCAGAGATAGAGCATAAGGTTGGTACAGATGTTGATGACGTTGAGTAGGAGCAGTAGGAGACCACTCATTAAGTAGTTGGAGAATGATATACAGGTGGTGATGAGCGTCGTGAGCGTGTTGATTAAGTAGAGATGCTCAAAGATAAGTTTGCTGTCCGACTGTGGCAGCTCTGGCGTTTGTGGACTATAGTACAACAACGTTGTTATGGCTCCAAGCGACAACTGGACGATGTTGAAGAGCAATGTGTGAATGGTTATCGAGAGGTGCGTGCGCACGGCAATGGCGTTGATGGCCACATTGAGCAGTGCGCCGCCAATGAAGTAGGCGTAGAGGTGTGGTCCGGCTAGCACTGCCAACACGGCGTAGAATGCACAGTAGAATAATGATAGATATGATAGCAGTCTGGCGCGTCTATATATTGCCGCGGAGGGATAGCCCATTCCATTGGGGCTAGGTATAAAATATGTTCGGATGATTGACAACGTGAACAATCTGATGCTGGCCAATATGTACCATGCATTTCGCGATCTGTCATGTGATCGATATATATTGGCGAATGGACTACTGCTGCTGTTGCTGTTGCCGCCACTACTATTACTATCGCTGTCACTGTTACTACCGCCACTACTACTATTACTGCCACTTAAGTGTCCTCCATCAGTTGTATTCTGGCTATCGTCATCATAGTCCATGCGATCCATTGAGTCCTTGTCCTCATCAGAGACATCAAGGATTATCTTGGAGGACATGACTTTGATTGATTGATTGATTGATTGATTGATTGAGTGATTGATTGATACTAATGTATAGATCAGGGCACCTGGATGTAGCTTGCTGGTATACTGGCTAGATGTAGCAGATGAATGGATGGCTGGTTTGCTGGCTGGCTGGCTGGCTATGAGTGTGTGAAAGAGTGAGCGTGTGACACCACCGCGACTTGGATGTGTGTTGTTGCCGTTGTTGGTGAGTTGAGATAATGGTATTGGCACACGAACTGTTAGTCAGAAGATAAATATTGAGTTGTTGTTGGAGAGTGAGTTGATTACGATGCTGAGTTGCTGATGTTCGTCACATCGCGCGTGGAAACAATGACAACAACAACTAACAACAATTAGAATAAGAGAGATAAAGAAATGTAAGCATTGGAGTTGGAGTTGGAGTTGTGATTGGAAGATGGCGGAGCTCCGTGTGCCTGGCTGCCTGACTGCCTGATTGTTGACTGGAAGGGCTTACAGAGTGTACTAACTAGGTAAGTTAGATGTTGATGTGTTTGTGATGGAAGGGCTGTTGTTATGTTAACAATCACGCACACACAAGGGCGTGATCCTTTCTTTGACCACTCACATGGTCCATTGATAGGCAAGCACTTTATACCTCCTTGATTGATTGATGGATTTAAAGTGTTTATTCATCTTGTACCACCTTTCCAATCAGTGCACTTGATCGGTATGTGTGTGTGTGTTTATGTGTGTGTTTGAGGGGTTGATCACAAACACTATGTTTACAGGGGGTAGTGGTTGGGGTGATTTGATCACCTGATCCATTGTTTGTTTGATCTGATTGTGGTGATCTAGTATGTGTGGGTTTAGTAGATATATAAATATACATATGTGTTGTGTGTGTGTTTGTGTTAAGATGAGTAAACTCAAGGGAGAAGTTGGAAGTTGGAAGTTGGAAGTCGTTGAAGTTGATGTTGATGTTGAAGTTGGAGTTAGCGTTTCCAGTTATTTTGGGGAGCTCACAATCCTTTGACACACAGTCCAGGCCAGACAAATGAAAGTTGACTGGACATTGATGACACTCATTAACAACAACAATGATTGGTCAATCTCCAGACTCCATGATCACATTCTCCAACATTCAGAGACAACAACCTCTTTCACAAACTCCAGTTCATTCAATAATAATACATTCATTTCTTTCATTCATTCAATCAATCATTCAATCATGATGGATGTGAGGAACCAACAAGATTTTGGAGGAATGGAAGGACTGACTCGTGAGCATCGATCACGTCTTGTGTTGAGGGTCGCACGCCAAGGTCTTGAGCGAGGTATTGGACAACAGGCAGGTTGCCCTTTCTAATGGCATAGGACATGGCCTCTGTGGAAGAGGTCTCTGTTCGATTGGCCAGCAGATACTTGACCACATCCAAATGTCTGCTGAGTATCGCCATGGAAACAGCCACGGACGAGCATCCCTCTGTCCTATTGCGATGCAGGTAATCAATCACTTCCAGATGTCCATTGCGCGCAGCAAATATCATGGCGTTGGTCGAGCAGCCTTCAGTCCTATTCTCGTGCAGGAACTTGATGACATCCATGTGACCATGTTGAGCAGCGCGATCAAATCCAAACTTGACACACATCTTATCGAATGAGCTTGGCTTTGGTCGTTCAGTATCATTATCATTGATCAGTATGTTGTGCAAGTATTGCACTACTTGTATGTGTCCATATTCAGCAGCCATTCCCAATGCCCTGTATTGATCTTGTTGTGAGCCCAATGACTCTTGGAGCAGTGTCACCACGTTTAGATGTCCAGCACGAGCAGCCTCGGCCATCTCACCACCAGAGAACACAATGCCAATGTCCAACAACATTCTTATAATGTCAATATATCCACGTCCAGCAGCAATTCGTGCAACAGGATATAGAGGTGTTTGTAAATGGTCAAGTATATTCTTGCTATTGTTATTGCTGTTGTTAAAGTCATAGTCATATACTGTTGAAAGATATATCTTGAGTAGATGTATATAGCCCAATGATGTCATTATTGTAGGACTTCTGATCATCTCCTTCCAACGAACTAATGCAAACTTATTACTTTCATTATGTTGATTGATATAATTTAGATTAAGTTGATGTACCCATGCAAACAACCTTGTACGTAGTACCTTATTCAATATCAATTGATTGAATCTTTGTTGTTTAGTATCCATTGTAGTTGTATATTTGATTGGTTGAATGGAAGTAGATTAAAATGTGATACCCACCCTTTATTTTTGATGAAGTCACCAGACTTTGAAGAACTTGGAAACACAAAAAGACGAACGAATGAGGTTTTGGTCATTCTTTGTTTGATAACTACCTTTATTATACATATATATAAGATGCAAACACTGATGCCTAATGGCCTAGGTAGATGTGGATATATTGTTAGACGATATACAGATCATTCAACATGCCTTTCAAGGATGTTGTTGGCATCAACAACTAGATCAATCAACAGATACTCTACTAAGACTAGTCAGGAACCAAAGTTCACTCCAAGTCAAGTATACCATGACATGTTTGATAATATAACTGGTGAACAAATGGTATGTTTGATCAAACATTGAATCATCCATCGATTGAATGAACGACTAACTTGTTGACATACCATGTAGCGTGATATGCTAAGTACATCAAATGCTCAGATGGCACCCTATAAACAGAAGAATACAAATCAATCAAACTTGTCATTCGTTGATAAGATAAGGATAAAGGTCAAGGCTGGTGATGGTGGATCAGGTTGTGTAAGCTTCCATAGAGAGAAGTACATACCAGAGGGTCCACCAGACGGTGGAAATGGAGGAGATGGTGCAAATATCATACTACGTGCAGACTTTAATGATAACAATCTATCACATATCTCAAGGAACTATATTGGTCAGAATGGCGAGAAGGGCAAGGGTGCACGACGCACAGGCAAGAGTGGCGAAGACATCATTATCAGAGTGCCAGTTGGCACGGTCATCAGGGAGATGGAGACATACTTTGATGATGATGGCGATGCTGTGGAACGCGAGGATAAGAGATTGGACAGCAGTTCAGACGAGTTTGATCCAGACTACTACTTGTCCAAACTGAACAGTCCCGTGATCGATGGCAAGACGGACACGACACTCTTTGAGGATCAGCTCTCGGAGGAGTATGACATGGATCAATCAAAGCGCAGGAAGAAACTGTGGCGCGAGGTTCAGGTCGTTGCGGACTTTGACACCCCGGGCCAGGAGCTCGTGTTCCTGCGCGGTGGTCGCGGCGGTCGTGGCAACTACAACTTTGCATCGAGTACCAATCGCTCGCCCGACTACGCTGGCGTGGGCAGGGCGGGCCACGAGAAGTACCTCGATCTCGAACTCAAGATCATCGCAGATATTGGATTGGTTGGTTATCCCAACGCTGGAAAGAGCACATTGTTGTCAAGGATGTCTAACGCCGTGCCAAAGATCAAGAACTATGCATTCACTACACTTCGTCCATACGTGGGCGTTGTCGATCTTGGCGTGCCCGAGGAGAAGAAGCCCATGCTACTATCTAAGCGACCCAGAAGATCAGTCACTGATCACAACAACACAACAACTATGGCCGATTTGCCTGGCATACTTGAAGGCGCACATCTCAATGTTGGACTCGGACTGGACTTCCTGCGACACATCGAACGCACCAAAGTGCTTTGCTACGTCATTGACATGAGCAATGAAGGCGTGCCAGCCATTTGGGATGGCACTACTTTGGAGGTTGTGCCAGATCGTTATAAGGATATGGGCGACGACGAGGAGTCAATCAAGATGATCACAGACAGCATTAGATCAAAGGCGCGTGAGATGGATCAGCGAGCACCATGGACCGACTATGTGACGCTGGTCGAGGAGCTCGAGACCTACCAACCAGGCCTTTCCAAGAAGCCATCATTAATCATTGCCAACAAGATGGATCAACCTTATGCTGAGGATCATCTGGAAGAGTTCAAGAGGGCAGTTGGACATCTCATCAATTGTCCCATCATCCCAGTCAGTGCTGAAATGGACGACCCAGCTGACTTTAACAAAGTGCGCAAGGTACTCAAGGACCTTGTGAAAAACATCAAGCCTCAAGAGGGCATGGTGGCCCAGCCTCAATCATTATCAGAGTGATCAATCAATCAATCAATCATACATATAACAATGGACCACGACGACGACACAAGTAGTAGCAGTGATCATGGTGACAAGACATGTGTACTTCTTCGGAATATGATTGATAAGGAGGCGATGATGGAGGACCCAGATTGGGAGAAGTCACTCGTGTACGATGTGGAAGAGGAGTGCGCAAGGTATGGCGATATACTCCAGGTCAATGTGGATAAAGAGAGTCATCATCCGCCATTGGTCTACATAGAGTACACCAACACGGCCTCTGCACAACGAGCTCAAGAGGCACTAAACAATCGATACTTTAGTGGCCAAACCATCATTGCAGAGTTGATAGATGTTGTCGCCTATCCATTCCAATCGTTAAGAATACATCAAGAATGAATCAATCATTGTAATATATAAGTCCAATCCATCCTATGATGATGTTGCTGTTGCTGTTGCTGTTCTACACTACACTCCTTCTTCTCTTTCTTTTATTCGATCGATGTTGTTGTTGATGTCATTCGCGCTGTTGAGTTTGTAACGACCTAAACTAGTATCTTAGCCGGCCTTGAATAGAAGTACATTGTGCTGACCAACAAAGAAGTATATGTAGTTCTTTGTCTCGTGAGTGACGAATGATCCAAAGCTCTTGCCAACGATGCAGTGCCATGTCGTAGAGTATTTCTTGTCAAACTCTGTATGTATGATGATTGAGACAATGATGGGCAGCCAGTGATTGATGATACCAATGATGTCAGTTAGTATGTTGTCAACATAGATATTGTCAATCATTCATACCCTTCTTTATGGTCATGGCGATTTCCTTCTCAACTGTATGCTCCTCGAATGCTTTGGCTGTGATATCGATTGCATCCTGCTGCATGAAATCTAGGCAATGTTATTAGTCAGTCGTCTGCAGTCGTACATCGTACATTACATTGGTCACATCTCATTGTGACAATGAATGAATGAGTGAGTGGAGTGAAGTGAAGTGAGTGAACCCCTACCTGGCATATCAGCAATCTTTATCTGTATTGACTTCTTATCTATTACTGGCATTGTATGATGTATATGTATGATTCAATTATAAAGGTACACCTGTGTATAGTCGTTCGTCGTTATTGGTCGGTGTAATGTTTGATTGTGTACAATGTTAAGAATCAACTTGAAGTGTTTGTCTTGAATGATCAAAGGTGGAGGCTCAATGAAAGAGCGGGTTTTTCATCACCATCAAGTTCACATTCACTCATTCTCAAGTCGACATTACTGTTCAACTACATCATAATCAACATACTTATACATACTTACATATTCATACATATATATATATATACCAATACAATGAAGAGATCAATAGGATATCTGTTATGCATTGTGGGCATTGTACTGTTTGTTCATTCTGTACTCTCAACACTTCAACGTATGTAGAGCGCTTGAAGTGTATATAACAACGATCAATATATGCTCATACCTTCCTTCCTCCTTCATTCATCACTTCACAGACAGAACATACCTAAGATTGACAGATAAGTCCTTTGATCATATACCTTATGATGTATGATATTACAACCAATAATATATGATTGAATGATTGATTGATTGAAGCATTCTAACATTCGATCAACAACAACTATTACATTATAGATTGCAATTGAATCGATAGTAGCACTGGTAATACTGTCTTGGGGAATCATCAATGTTGCACCAAGACTACAGCCAATCAAAGTTACTGGACATCTTTCCAAAAGAAGCTTTGAATCACTAGACTACAGACCAAACTTTGTACATTTCAACAACAGAGCAAGATACTTGGCAGACTTGACCAAGTAGTATCATCACTTCAAATATATATATATATAACAGTTATATACTCAACTGTGACCCCAACAACAACAACAGGCGCACTTCCATTCCAGTCTTCAATCGAGTCTTTATTCAATGCTATGATCATTCGTTGTTGTAGCGTAGGCATGAACATGCCCAGTCATTCCTTGTTGGCGTGCGTCGCCTACGGATGTCTAGTTCTTGACTTGTCAAACTCAATCGAGATGGACGACGACATGTCCTTCGGGTCCATCCTAAATCCCTGTATAATCATCATATTCAGTGTCAATTATCATAATCATCATCGTCATCCAAGTCACTCTGTTACATACATTAAGTATCTCCATGGCCATCGCAGCCGATGGTACATCTCTAAAGTCGCAGAAGCATATTGGATACTTTCCATCACGGTGCACCAACCTGACGCTGACGAATCCCCTCATGAACCTAAATAGAATTGATAATTCCTAACAATGATTGAGTTGATTGTTGGTTAGACCAGTCCAGTCTGATTGTAAAGGGTCATTCAATTGACTTACTCTCTCTGTTACATCCTTTGGAAGATTGGAGACAAAGAGTGTTGTGCATGCATCTGGTATTCTTGATTGAGGCATATAGTATTGCATTGGCTCGCGAGGGTAGAGGTGGTGGAATGGTTCAAAGTCTCTTGGTGGCTGAGGTTGCAAGTGATGCTTTGTTGGAGGATAGTCCTCTCTGTCAAGGTATCTAAATGTCATTCATTCTTTGAGTGTTAGATCGATCGAGAGTCGTCAATCCAACGACGAAACACTATACATACGCGTCTCTGTATCTACTTCTATCCTTCTCAAACCTATCCATCTCTCTTGGTCGCTTCTTATCAACATCGTGATGTGACTCTGGCTCTACCTCGCGCTTCCTGTGCTTGTCTGAGCGATCGGCAGTGTCATCATAGTCATCATCGCGGTCGGGATGGCGATCGTCATCGCGGTCCTTCCTGTCTCTTGGCGACTCGTGGTCTCTGTGATCGCGGTAGTCACTTCTATGCTCTCTCCTGCCACTGTCGTGATCTCTGTCTCTGTCTGCTGAGCTGCCGCCTACTCCTCTACTGTCTACATCTCTGTACGATGATGAGGTGGTGGTTGAACTTGTCTGGGAGAAGTCATCTCTTGATCTAGGGTCCTTATTTATGATGATGATTATGATTGATTAGATTGTAATGTACTGATTAATGATAACTATTCTATACTCCTCAATGTCTTCTTCTCCCTTAGAGTTCACTATATGTAGTACTATCTCTCGCTTCTCTCACGCTCGCTCTCTCACTCATTGATGTGATACTAGCTATTCTAATCTATGTCTCTTTCTTTACTAACTCACTCACTCTCTCTTATGTACTACTAAGGTGATGATGATAATGATGATGATGTGATATTACTTTGTCAAAGTCTATTGATAGTGGCTTGTCTAATGAATGATGTCTGTATCCAGAGTATCTCCTCATGGCACTGGTAGCATATCCACTGTCCTTAAACTCTACAAAGGCAAAGAATGGTTTCTAATGATTCATTCATAAGTTCACTCATTAGTCAACAATATCATTGACTTTACAACAACAACAAGTTATATAACATACTCTTCTAATTGATACGTATCCATTCAATGTTGAGAACAAGTCTTCAAACTGTTCATTGGACATCGTAGCAGGGATGTCACGTATGAACAGTATTTTAGATGGAGGTGCTCTTGCTTCCATCTCTGTAAATAGTATGTATTTATTTATATAAGTATGTATGTATGTAGAATGATGAACAACACGAATGAATCAAGCAGATCACCAACTTTGGTGTTGATCAAACACATCACCCTCTCGTCACCAGTCGACTTTTCTTCAAGCCAATATGTTGTTGCTTGTTGTCAAGGTCATTCATTTCATTCACTCATTAAAGAACAATCAATGTCAACAAGTAAGAATATGATTAAGTTTATCTTTATGTTTTAATATAAGTTATAAGTTAGGGATGTCTGAAAACTACGAACATACATAGAATGTTTGTCTAATAATGTAGATACTGTTTCAGTAAATATACTCGTTCCAGCTCGACACGTAGTGTCATTCGCCTCTGCACTCGATGAACGAATACATACGTCGGCTGTGCTGGTAAACAATGTAAAGAGCCAAAGAGCGCTCAACCATCGTTTTGAAAATCGTCCTTCTTCATTCCATTATGGGTCAAAAAAGAGATCAAAATTATTAAAAATAAAGAAAAAAAATTAAATATCCAGTTTGTTTATTATCAATCAATCAATCAATCATTTAATCGCTATACAGTAACTTTGTCAAAGACAATCCTTCCAAAGCACATCCTCAAACTATTAATCCATTGATAGATATGGACAAGTTGTTTGAGGATGGGCTTTGAATTATTGCCCATCCCACTATTAAAACGTGGCCAGGTAGTAATAGTTCTAGTTCTAGTACTAGTAGTTGGGGATTATCCTTTGGTTGGTCCTTCCTTCTTTCCATTGTTTTTTGATCTCCTTCAATCTTTCATGTAGATGGATAGTTTAAACTATGTCTTCTAATTATCTTTATCAAGGTATATCTTTATCAAGAAGACTAAATAAAATATTTCTTTGTATCTATTAAGACTTATAATAGTACTATATTTTAGCAATGGTTGGATATGTCCCTCAGACCTGGGTCTAGTATTATCACTGGCATGGATTTAAATACAAGAAAATGGTACCAGTTTTTAAACATCACTAATTCTATATATATTAGTAATAAATGAAACAATATACAAACCTTAAATATTATTATTATAAGTAAGTTAAATTAATAATTATAGATAAAGAGATAAGATAATGAATGAATGTCCTCTTTAAAGGAGGTTTAAATAGCCTTCACTCAATCAATCATGTGATGTATGAAACTTGGAGAACTGAGTTTGCTAATCTGTTAATCAACAGATTGTCAGCTGACAACATAAAGTGAATATTCGAAAGATCTTGGCAACACAATCCTTGGCAAGCTTGACCCACTTACAACTTTGATACAATACATGGAGTGATGAAGATAAGATCTGTCTGACGACTTGAAAAGTTGAGGCTGCATTCAGATGTAGTGTAGCATACAAGAGATCACATAATAATAATAATAATAATAATAATGGAACAAAGTAATATTTACTTCTTGTTGAAGTTGACAGAGTAGCCACCTGAATTGGGATCTTTGACAAATTGGAAGTTGTCTGTGCTCAGTCCAAACTTGCCAAGGATTGTGTTGCCAAGATCTTTCAGCTTGCTCATCATCTCTTCGCGCTCCTTCTCCTCCTTGATCTTGATAAGTGGTGGCAGACGCACCAGCGCCGCCTTGGACGCTGCAAAGCTAGAGTCATGCTCGAGCACTGCCTTGAAGTCGGCCATCGCCTCTGTTAGCTTGTTTTGCGATTCATATGCCTGTGCTCGACGATGCAGTGATTTGATTCGAATGCCAGTCGATGGCTCCAAGTCGATTGCCTCGGTGCAGTCACTGATGACCTGATCATATTCCTTTAGTGCCAAGTATGACGCCGCTCTATTGCAATGATAGACGGCCACCTCTTCGTTGCAGACCACTCTATCAGATTCCTCGCCTTCCTCTACAATCTCCACAATCTTCTTTGGTGTTACCACGTGCCCAATTGCCTCTGTATATAATCGCACTGCCTCTGTATACTCTGTTGATGCATAGAGCATATTACCCTGTGCCTTTAAGTTATTTGATCGCTCTATCTCATCCTTTGATGCTCTAATAATTCTCTTTTCTTTGATAACCTCTTTTGTAACATGAGTAGTTGTTGGTTCTGTAGTTGTTGATGATGGCTTGTCTATTGATGGTATTGTTTCTTTCTGTTCTTCTTCTTTGTTTTCTTTTATATTCATGTCATCGAGCTTTGTCTCGAGTGAAGCAGATGGTTCATCAGCCTGCTTGATGATTGTACAAGTGTTGAGTTAGACTTGTTTGTCTCATTCAGTATCACTAGTTGTTATACTAATACTTACCATTGTATTATATTATATGTATGTATATATTATCTCTAACCTTGAATGAATGAATGAAGAATGAAACAATGAATACTCCTGAGCGCATTGTCCCAACTACACTCACTCACAAACACACACAACACTTGAGTGATGGTGTGATTGGATGTGGACAAACGATTACCAAATGAGGTAATGATCAATATATTGTGTGTAGTGATGACGATGAACAGTATGCTATTAGTATGATGTTACATGTAACGTTTGTTTTAATGAATGAATGAATGAATGAATGAATGGACAGAGAGTTGGGAGTATCGACTCACTCTGTTGACCAAAGATCATTGGTCTTGCTTGATGTCGACTTCTTGTTGTTGGATGATGTTGTTTGATTTGACAGAAGGTTGGAATAAGTTGTTCGAGCTGTTGACTGGCGACGACTATGACTTGTACAACCAAGCCAGGGCTTTATAGTTTTTAGATGGTCTCCATTGGAACGTCCTCGACAGTGACTCTTGATGTAAGAGGTGGGACGATGGTATGGGAGATGACTGGAGTAGTGCCACTTCTAAAGATGTATGGGTTCGATCTGTATTTACGCTCGTTGGGCTTCTCGTAGCCTCTCATCACCTCAACGCCATCCTTTGTGATCACTGTAACATCCACATTGCTACCACTTCCCAGATCATTGAATATACCACTCTTGATTGAATCAGCTACCAGAGTAATGGCCTCCTGTCTCTGTATATTTGTGAACAACCAAGTGATGTGTTAGTATCCATCCATCCATCTATCAATCAATCAATCCTCTTCCTCCTCTAACATACAGTCATGTCTGGCTTATAGTTGGCCTCCATAATGGCCATGGCGGCGAGGGAACCAGAACCCATGGTAACAAAGGGCAGCTGATCGGTGGAGCCGTGTGGGTAGATGGTGTGCAATGATGGACCAGTGACATCGAAACCGCCGAGAATCAAAGCAGCGCTGACGTGTCCTTGATACTTGAAGAGCATCTGCTTGAGCATGGTCAGTGCAGTGACGACACGCACCTCCTTGCCTGTGGACAGCTTGTGCAACTTCAACTTGGACGAGATCAGTCCAGTGGCATTCTCTGTGTCGGCGGCGGTACCAGCACCACAACAATAGATGTTGTCGGCAATGTAGTGAATCTTCTCACAGTTCTTATCGGCCACGATTGGGCCCTCAGTGGCACGAGTATCTGCACCAAGCACCACTCCATCCTTATATACAACACCTACAATTGTTGTACCAGTCTTCATGAAACCTGGCATCTTCATACCTGTCTTTGCAATCAACTCATTCCTAATATCATCGAACAAATTGATTGATTGATTGAATGAATCGCAATGTTAGCTTAAGTCTAATAATTATATCATGTGATCAAATCAAATCACATCACATCGCATCACATCAGATCACGATCATGATCACTGTTGAGTGAGGTTCATGTCGAGCCAATCAAACAATTAATCTCCTACCTCTTGCACATATCGAATGTGAATCCACCTCTGTTCAATTGATCCATTGCTATATATCTTTGTTTTATATTATATACAATTAATATTTATATATATGTATGTTTATGTATGTCTATGTATTATTCAATTAATAAAGATAAAAGTGAAGAAATTGAGATGTTGATGTTCATCATGCCTTGTGTGATCATCACACTTTCAAACACAAGATGTTTTAATCAAATGATTTGTTGGAACTTCAATTAAATAAACAAAAGGTAGCCACATCACATCAAAAGTGATGCATTTAATGATGTTGGTATCCTATTTGCTCACCTTGTGTGTATATATATATGTTGTTGTGACCGTAGGTTTAAGACAAATGAGCACCTTGATGTGTCACTGATTAAACTTGAATGAATTGACCTCCCGGCCAACCTGACTGACTGACTCTCCCACTGACTGAATCACTGCAGTAAGACTTGGATTGATTGATATCTTGGTCACATCAATGTAGTCTTGTTGTACAAGGAATATCCATATCCTGGATGACCTTTCTACAGTGCGGTCAAATGTGTGGGTGAGGTTAATATGACTTCAATAGACGAGTAAATCAATTCAGTCTCAATGAGGACCAAAGTTATGTTGATTGAGGGATGTGTTGTTATAATAAGATTATTATTATTATTTGTAGTTGTTGGAATAGTACTCAAGATTTAAAGTGACAATGATAAAAAATAACAAAGAATTAACTCTATTTTTTCGACTTTGATCCCATTAACTAAACGAACGAGTCGTTTGATAAAACTGTGTAAATGATGATTAGAGCAATTTGATAAGAAAAGCAACTGAATACTTTATATAAGCAACAACGCACAATGTATAACCGATGTTCCCTAGGGAAGTAATTTGGTGATGAGTACACTGTTGACCGTGTTCAGGAGATGAAATATATCGGGAATTTAAAGTGATTACTGCTACGGTCCTCTGTTCTACATGACTCATGATGCTGTATCCAATCCGTTCTCATACATCATATATTTTACTTAAAACAAAGACTAAACAAACTATCAAACAAACAGATACTACTACATCAACAAGAAGGCCTCTAATGGGATATCTTGGGATCCACACACATTGGGACCTAACTTGGTCAAAAGAACGAATGCGATCCCTTGGGAACGGGCTGCGTGATGGGTTGTGAGGTTTGGTAAACCGATGGTACCCAAGAAGAGGACGGATATTTAAGGATGGTATTCAACAACATTTAAATTTTAAATAAAGATGTAACTTCATGGTTCCTGCAATGGGCATCATAGAGTGCGAGTGAATGGCAAGGCAAAGGCAGGCCAACACACTATGATGATATTTTTGATGATCAAGTTAGGAGAGGTGTGTGGATGGACCTTGATGTATAAGGGTGGGTTCGTAACTTGGATGTGTTTAATACCAATCAATGATTGACTGGATCGAACACAACTACTAATTCCAATCATACTTCCATCCCTTCATTCATTCATTCAAACATATACACATAAACAAATACTACATACTTCACATACATACCTTCTATTGATTGATTGATCGATATAAAAGGAAACATCGTTATTACCATATTTGGTCACCATCACTTACACACATACAACATTCATACAAACATACAAATACATACACAGTACACATACAATGACAACACCATCACCAGCATCAAATGCTCAAACAAGTGGCGTGTGTACAATCTCACCTCAGTCCGGTCTGCTAGAGTGTACAAAGGAGTTTAGAAGCAAGGAGAAGTTGCCAACATACGTGTTCCAGTATCCAGAGCACGCCAACACTCATGTTGCCAACGAGATCGTCGCCGTAATTGAGAAGGCCAATGCAGAGGGCAGAAATGCCGTGCTGGGCCTGTCGGCCGGCTCAACACCCACCGGTGTCTACGAGCTGCTCATCCAGCTGCACAAGCAGAAGAAGGTCTCCTTCAGCAGGGTGGTGACGTTCAACATCGACGAGTACTACCCCATTGCCAAGACCTCCATACAGAGCTACAACCGCTTCATGAAGGAGTATCTGTTTGACGAGGTCGACATCCCCGCCGCCAACATCAACGTGCTCAACGGCGAGGCGGACGTTGCCACCATCGAGCAGTACTGCGAGGCGTTCGAGGAGAAGATCAAGTCGCTGGGCGGCATCGACCTACTGCTGCTTCCCATCGGCAAGCGCATTGGATTCAACGAGTCGGGCGCTGAGAAGGGCTCAAAGACCCGTCTAGTGGACCTCGAGCAGAACACCAGAATCGACGCAGCCTCTGACTTCTTTGGCACGGAGCACGTGCCACACCAGGCGCTCACCATGGGTCTCTCCACACTGCTGGCTGCCAAGCGTGTACTGTTGCTTGCCTTCTCAGAGGGCAAGGCTGCCGTGGTCCAAAAGACCACAGAGGGTGAGGTCTCTCTACAGGTACCATCTAGTCAGTTCCAGAAGCATGCCAACTGCTCGTTGATCGTTGATGATGCCGCTGCAGGTGAACTCACCAGACAAAAGTGTCCATGGACCATCCACGGCACAACTGGTCCAGTCCTCATCAAGTGGACTCCATTGCTTGCTCGTAAGGCTGTGATCTGGCTGTCGCTCAAGCACAACAAGCCCATCCTCAAGCTTGAGGAGGATGAGTACACCGATAACAACCTGTCATCATTGCTCAAGTAAGTGTATTATGTACCTAATCACCTCCTCGCGCGATGACATATCATCTAACTCGCATGAACACACACTCTTACAGAGCATATGGACCATGTCCAAACCTTAACCTAAAGGTGTTTAGATACCTTCAATCAACAATCAATGGCTGGCCAGGTGGTCGTCCTATTCAATCACCACCCAAGTCCCCAGCCGGTCTTGGTCTCGGTCCACTGCCAATCCAGGTCCAGAATGACAACTGGGACGCACCAACTGCCACTCAGATGCCAGTGTCCAAGCGTGTCATTGTCTTCTCACCACATCCAGACGACGACGTCATCTCGATGGGTGGCACATTCATCAGACTCTGCGATCAAGGTCATCAAGTGCACGTTGCCTACCAAACATCTGGCAACATTGCCGTGTGGGACGACGATGCCAAGCGCTTTGCCAACTACGCCAATGAGTTTGTCAAGCTGTTTGACTTTGACGAGTCGGCCAAGAAGAAGGCGCAAGCCCTGCAGGATGGCGTCGAGAGCTTCATCGCAAACAAGCAGCCCGCTCAGCCAGACTCGCGTGAGATCCGTCTGATAAAGGGACTGATTCGTCAGACTGAGGCCAGAGCAGGCGCACGCTACGCCGGTGTCCACCCAAGCCGTATCCACTTCCTCGAGCTGCCATTCTACGAGACTGGCGCCGTCAAGAAGAAACCACTTGGCGAGGAGGACATCCAGATCATGGCCGACTTCCTCACCTCTGTAAAGCCCGAGATCATCTTTGCCGCCGGTGACCTGTCGGACCCACACGGTACCCATCGTGTCTGTCTCAAGGCGATCCTGGCCGCCATCGAGCGCCTCAAGAATGAGCAATGGATGCGCGAGTGCCAGGTGTGGCTGTACCGTGGCGCCTGGCAAGAGTGGGAGCCCGAGCGCATCGAGATGGCTGTGCCCATGTCGCCACACGAGCTCCTCAGAAAGAGAATGTCGATCTTCAAGCATCAATCACAAAAGGATGTGCCAGCATTCCCCGGCACAGACAAGCGCGAGTTCTGGGTGCGTGCCGAGGACCGCAATCGTCAGACTGCCAAGATATATGACCGACTTGGATTGACAGAGTTTGAAGCTGTCGAAGCATTCGTCAGCTGGGCCATTGACAACAAATACGGTACCAACCCAATATAAGATAATATCTTCCTTCTCCCCAATTGGATCGTTCAATCATTCATTCAATCAATCAACCAGATTGATGACCTTCATCCAGAGTCCTGTCCAATCCGAATCCAACTCAAATCAGTGAGTGAGCAGTTGTGTCCACCTTATCTCTAATGCGTGTCATGAGTTGTTCTCAATGCTAGGGATGGTATCACGTGCTGGAACACACACACATACAGATACAACATCATGATGGTGGGCATAATGGGACCAACCACACACGATTTCTCCACCGCCCTCATCCTCGAGAGAGGTCAAGAAACGGCACACTGATATGTGTCAGGTTTGTGTGTTTGTGTCAAATAGGAAGAAGACAAGACAAAGTCAGTTGTAATCAATACTTTGTTTTCAATGATTGTTTTAGCTTTTCAGAAGCCCATTGATAGGGCTTGCCCCAGAAACCAAAGTAATCAAAAAACATAAAGCGTGGCGTGTGCGTTATGTGGATAGTTGTCGCCCGAAAAGTCGAATTGGTACGTACTATTATTTGAAATAAAGAGATTGAGATAATTATATTTTTGTTATTAATAAATACCTTATGTAACCTTCTTACCAAACGATGTTTTTAACTATGATACGGAATTTATGATCAAGTTAATGCCCTCATTCCGGAATGAGGGCCGACTTGGTGAGCGCATCGCTCACAACCTACTCTTGGACAGCACCATCCATCCATTCATTCATTCTTATTTATTCATTCAAGACAAAACTTTGTAATCATTTGTTGTAATCTATCAATCATATACACATACACATATATAAATACATAAACAATGCATAAGGGAAACGTCGTTGTATTGATCTTATTGATCGTTCCAGCAGTTTTGCTGATCGTTTCATACTCTTGTATGTAGTAGTTAATGATCTCATCGGCCAGGCACATTATTCATCAGATACTAACATCCTACTCATCATTCAATCAAACGAATTGATCAATCAATTAATTAGCATACTGGTACAAAGTCAGCACGGGTGATTCCGCTTCATACTACAAGCAAGACACAATTAAGAGTACCGGAGGAGGTAACACCATTTACACAGACTGGAGCGACAACGATGGAGATAAGAGAACCCATCAGATTTTCACCTCGGCAATGGCCTTTGCTACTATTGCTTGGATTGTCGACATTATTGCCGTGTTCTTCATTGTGCTCAGCCTTCTTGGAATTCTCAGCAAGATCCCATTGCTGCCATTCCTTACCAAGTTCTTGCCATTGGCAGTTTTGATCCTGTCTCTCATCTCGCTGTTCATCTTTGTTGGTCTGCCAAGCGCCATGAAGAAGGACTGCCAGGCTGTCTCTACTGATACCATCTGTGACAACGACAAGCAGAACAAGGACCTCTCTGGTTCCCAAAGCGTCACTATTTTGGGAGTCACCTTCACCACCAAGTGGGGACCAATCCAAGGTTTTGCCTGTGTTGTCGTCTCTGCCGCCTTTGCCCTGGGTGCCACCGTTGCTTCCTTCCTCATGTCCGCTTTCTAATTTAAACAATAAAAGGAACTTGTCTCTTGTTAATAACAAAATGTGTACACATGTTGGTGATGGTCATTGGACCATTCAGTTATTATCCCCAAGTGAGAGAGAAAGAGTGAGAGTGAGTGTGTGTGTGTGTGTATACGTGTCTGAATTGATTGTTATTCTTTGATTGATTGATTGTTTGGTAGTGTGTCGTTTTGTTTGAAGGGTTGTGTTTGTGTGTGTTTGGTGGTGATTGTGAAAGGGTGGGAGTCAGTGTCAATTTGGTAGGTGATCAGTTAAAGTATACCCTCCAATTAATTATTAGTCTACATATATCCTTCCATCTTTTGATGGTTTGTTTATCATAATTAATTATGTTAGCCTCTTTTAATGGTTGTATATTCATATATATATGAAGTTAAATATCAATAATTATTGATTGTTCTCTACTTATACATACATATCATGAATAATCATTGATTGAATTCAACATTGTTATATTATAATCCTTTAATCAATTAAATAAATAAATAATTACTCTTCAAAGATGCATAGACCCAATATTATTGTACTAATATTATTGTTTGTACCCTTTGTTCTACTCATTGTTTCATATTCATGTATGTATATATGATCGATTGATCAACAGCATTAGTTTCATTTTATTAACATCCAAATAATGTACACATTCCGAATGATAGCATATTGGTATAAACAATGGAGTGGAGATAATGCCACATACTTCAAGTCTGATAGAATAACAAGCAATTTCCCTGGAGGATACACATCTCATTACTGGGGCAGTGATGATGATAGCTACACTCATCAGATATTCCAGGCTTCCTTGGCGTTCGCTATCCTTGCATGGATAGTGGATATAGTCGCCATTCTCTTGGTGGTATTCAGTCTTGTTGGCCTGTTCTCTAAACTCCCCTGTTTGCCAATGAATATCCTCACAAAGATTATGCCAATCGTTGTATTCGTTCTATGCTTCATTTCAATGTTCATCTTTGTTGGCTTGCCCAGCGCCAAGAAGAGAGACTGTGAGAAGCAGTTTGGAGATGGCAACTGTAACGCTGGAGGAGACCTCAGCAAGTTGGTTGGTTCTAGAGATGGTTTCCACTGGGGACCAATTGAAGGTTGGGCATGTGTTGTTGTCTCAACAGCGTTTGCTCTTGGTGCCACAGTTGTCTCCCTTGTGGCTGGCAACTTCTAAATTATTTAACTCATCATAATATTGCCTTGTTTGTCAATCAATCAACTACTTGTAAATAAAGTAATCATTTCCATATTTGGTAATCAATCAATCAAGCAATCATTAATTAAACATCAGATGCATTTATTGATGGGTATTATTCTCATACAATTAGGTTGGGTTGATTGGTTGGAGGTTGGAGTTGGTTGGTTTGGATATGATTGGCTTCTGGATACTCTGTTGTAGTGTTGGACGGATGGCCTGATCAAGTGGACTGGGAGCACGCCTCCAGCAGAGGCTGGATGAAATAAATATGACAGTTGGATGGCATAGGGTAGGTTGGATGGTAGATAGGTAGGTGGATGGATTGGCTCTTTAATCAGAGTCAGAGGATGAATCGGATGATGATGACTCGTCCTTCTTGTTCTCATCGTAGACCTTCTTCTCCATCTCCCAACGCTTCTTGTCCTCCATGGCCATCTTCTCATAGGTCTCCTTTCCCTCGGCATCGAGCTTCTCCCACAGCTTTCCGAGCAGGGAACCGATCTTGCCAAAGGTGGCCTCTGGGTTCTCGGCCTTAACCTGTGGACGCTTCTCCTTGGAGAAGAAGATGAAGGCAGTCAAGTTACGACGTGGGGCATTTGGATCCTTCTTCTTCTTCTTGTTCTTCTTGGACTTCTTTCTGGTGTCCTTCTTAGTCTTCTTGACTCTCTTGGGGTTTTCGTCGTCACTGCTCATTCTATCATTGTTTGATCAAATGAGTGAGTAAGAGTGAGTGTGAGGAGAGAGGGAGTAGGTAGTAGGTGCAGACGAGGCATTGGTAGGGAAGAGAGAGAGAGAGAATGAGAATGAGAGAAGTATTTATAATATGTTAGTTATCCATACACTATCAACCATACACACTAACTGATGATGATGTGTGTCGACGAGTTTCCACCAACAATCAATTTCAACAAACAAACGTGTTGATGGTAAAACTTGATTGATTGATCGAGCGGAAACGACAACAAGTGGCGCTATAGCGCCAGAGAGGACGAGACACAACATCCGACCATCAGACCAACATATAAAAATATCATGCCATAGGATGACTAGAGTTAATAGTTACCTTTTAGTTTAATGCTATTGATATGTATGTGTGCGTGTATGTTGTATGGGTAAAGTTGTGCGGTGATGGAATGTATGTGTGTCAAAATGTACACAGGTTGTATGGCAAGGGATGGGAGTTGAGGAAGGTTGTTGTTTGTGCGTGTTGTATATTGTGAGGTGAATTGAATTGTTTGTTTGTATGTGTGTGTGAGAATTGTGCGTGAAGGTTGTTGGTGAGAGAGTGAGCGTGACTGGCTGTGCGTGCCGCTAGTCACTGGAGTGAACTGGTGAGTGAGAGTTCACACCTTTCAAAATTTATGCCTGTATTATTTAAATTTGAATTTGAATTATCTTCGCACACTTTGATCACAAAGTGTTGGCTGAATCAGCCAACGGTTTCTACTCCAACGGATGATCATCGATCTTCACACCCCTCTCTCGCTCACCCGGCTGATCAAGATCCTGCTTCAACTACACACCCAACCAATCAAATCAACTAGTTACCACGTGTTATTCAATCATTTCATTATTCTTGATAACGGACAAGGAAACTTGTAACGGTTCCTGCAATGTTGAATAAGGCGCCAAAGATGATTATGATCCAACCTAGTTGAGGCGCGAACTCAATTTGATCATTGTAGGTGCCATAGAGTTGATGCTGGTCGGCTACGCCACATAGAGTGAAGTGTTGATCGGTGCAGTCACGTTGTTTGGCGGCGGGCAGTCCAACAAATACAAACAAGCCAATGAGACTGAATGTGATGGCGGTCAGACCCAGTCCCCTAATCACATGATTGAATGGTAGGAATCGGATGTTGTTGAGTGCGCCAGCCATGCTCAGGGCAATCAACAGCAGCAACACAGTGATCTGTACCCATGCCAACAATATGAATGATACTGAAGTGCTGTAGAGCTCTCTCTCATGTATCCTGCTGTTTGCATTTTGCCAACCTTCCACCTCTGAGTACTCTCCATTCGGTGTCCTCTCAAGTATCCTCTCCTCATTGAACTTTGTGAGCACCTGTCTATCACTCTGTATGTAGTTCACTTTATACCAGAATGCTTTGTTGTTTGATTGATCGAGAGAGTGTGTTGTGTTGTTGGACATGTTAGCAAATATTGTAGTTGTTGATTAGTTCCAGGTCATGATTTGACTGACTGAGTGGCCATTCATACATACAGGAGAAGGATACAATTAGCAATACCCATGTACATACGTACATGGCAAAGGATATGATCTTCTTTTTGTTCATAGTATTAAGGGTTATTTAGATAACTTGGAGCCACAAAGGAAGGAAGGATAATTATGAGGTAACAATGAAGACGCCACTCACTCGATTAATAATAACAACAACAAAGGAAGGAGGACTTCATACATTCTTTCTTTCCTACCTCCCATCTAGCTAGCCAGTCGGACTGACAGCCTGCCTACTTGTTAAGTTAATTGATTGATCAATCATAATTTGATGTTGGCTAACATATATAACACCAATATATCTCACTCACTCTTCACACCTTGTCACTTGATCACATGTTCAACAGTGTTACCACCCCCTACTTACTCATCCTTGGGTTAGTATTCAGACCACCCCAAACTAATAACACCAACTCACACAGTTAGACAGATAAACATACACAAAACACCTATTATCTCTTTCATTCATTCTTTGGCAATAGATGCACGACAAGGGTGCCGAGTCGCAGACCCGACTCCCTGTAGTATGGTCTTTCAGGTGTACACCTGGCCTCTCATAACTAATATATGGAATGAATGATTGATGGTAATGACAATCTCAATATTAACATAGATGATTGATTATTAATATATTGTTCATTGAGTCTACAAGATGTATGTCAACCAATGGAGTGGACTCAACTACTACAACTTGGAATGACGTGTGGTGTTTGGTCGGACCGACCACACCAACCTGGAAAAGGAAACTGGTTGTGTTTGGAATAGTTGTTGGTCTGAAGTGAAGAGTGACTGAGATAATATATTGAGTTGAACAAAGTCCTCGGTTTCCGAACCTGACATGTTAGTAGTATTCTTTGAGATATATATATATATACTTTTATGATGCAAATATAATTATAATAATAATAATAATAATATTGATATAGATAGAGATATTAAGAATATAAATAGATAGACAGACAGATTGACATACCCATTTGGAGCATAATAATTGAGGAGATGTCGGATAAATCACAATTACCTGTACGATTCATTGTTAATACAAAGTATCAATACTTGACAAAGTTAAATGGAGGTGATACATTTGGAATGGTACAGAAGATGTTGACCGAGAAGAGACCAAAGGAGTTGGGACCTTTGCCAGAGATACCAATATTTGCCTTTATCTACTCGGGCAAATACTTCTCCGAGGACATGTTTGTTCACGAGTTGGAGTCAACTCAAACGCGGCGACCTCTCAACTTGCAACTCATTATAAAGGATGCCTCAAAGAACAGAATGTTCTTTCCCAAGGGATTCTCATTGGCAAGGCGTAACTCTGCGCCAATCGTCAGCGCCATTCAACAAGAACGAGACCAGATACGTGCGCTCTCACCAGATATCTCGTCATTGACGCGACACCAACAACATCCAATCGAGCCAATATCACCTATAATGCAAGCACAGGAGGTTCCAACTTCTGCGCAACAGTCGATACCAGAGGAGAATGAGAATGAAGAGTTGCCAACCTTTATTACAACGTTTGAAGAGGTGACTACATTCGATGCAGATATCCAACATTATCATGGTGTGTCGTTCTCCAACTCGACAATGTCATTGTTGGACCATCTGTTCAACAACAATCAACAAGATGGTACCGTGTCCACACAGTTTGCAAGAGAGTATCTTGAGGAGTATTGGGAGCAGATGGCACAACGCACACCTCAACTACACTCAATCACCTACAATGTCGATCCAATGACCAATACCACGACTACATCAATCAACTCGCATCCATTCCCCAACGACAAATATGATGGGATACTTCAATTAATCCTAAAGGTTGACCATGAACAAGATGGCGGAGAAGGTCGCTTGAGCAAGGAACTATTCCGTACCCTGTTCTTCCTATTCAACTATGATTCGAATGCTCTACAAGAGGATGCATGTCCAAATGGATCATATAATGAGTAAGTAGAGGTCGTAACGACATCATGGATGTAGTCTGCATTGGACTGACACCAGTCAATCAATCAAACATTAGTGTTGAGAGAGTTGTGGAACAATACCATTCAACGATATCCAATCAACCATTTTGAAGAGTCAAGGTTCAAAACGCTGTACCAAATGGTTAGTGAGCTGGATGGTAGGGCACCATCAAACAGTGGTAGCAGCGATGATAACAGTGGCGACAGCAACAGCAACAGTTCACTTGGTTGTCAATTCATCGAACTACTTCTATTCCTCTACTGCACTGATATTTTAAACAATGAAGTAACTTCATCAGCTGCTGTATAAATGAATGAATGAGTGTAATAATAAACAATCAGCAACTAGACCAATTGTTGACCTTCAAAGGGCACTCTCGAGTCCTCACTGACTTCACCAAAAATCATTTAAAATTAATTAAAATAAGATTTGTCAAGAGGACGAGCGAGGGACTCGTGTGGGGTAGCGGGCTGGCATGGATATCTCAGACGAGTGACAGGGACAAGGTATCCAATATCCCCTATCCACACTATATCCATTATCAATATCCATCCATCACCTTAGCAATGTCTGAGACTACCGCCACTCCAGCTTCCTCCGGAATGATCTTCGTTGGAAACCTCCCATTCAGCCTTACCGAGGCTGAGTTGACCACCATGTTCGCCGCCTACGGTGCTGTGTAAGTGATCTTCAATCTATCATCCATCCATCAACATTAGCACAGTGATCATCATCATCGTCAAGATTCAGGATGTTTGGATACTGGGATCGATCAATCATTCCATCAAATGATATGAACAATCAATGTTAACACTGGCCATCTAATCCAATCAATCAATCAATCAAACTGATCAAACATGGACATACTCGCGACTCATTCGACTCTTATCGATATAACAGTGTCAACTCCAGAATCATCAAGAGAAGATCAACTTCACTCGGATATGGTTTTGTCGAAATGGAAAACGAGGAGTCTGCTGTGAAGGCCATCGCTGCTCTGAACAAGTCAGAGATCAGCGGCAGAGCCATCAACGTCGAGTTGTCAAAGGAGACTGGCCCAAGAAAGACCACCACCACCACCTCCACCCCAACCACCACCTCCACCAAGCCATCAGGCAGATCGCGCAGACCAAAGACCACCTCGGACGCTGCCCCAGTCTCTGGTGACGCCCCATCCACCTCGTCCACCGACTCGACCGCCGCTGGCGCCTCGACCGGCAGACCAAAGAGAAGATCAAACACCAAGAGAAGATCAGACGCTGAGGTCTCCCCAGCCGCCACCTCCACCACCCCAGCCGAGCCAAAGGCTGCCTCCCCAGATACCCTCTTCGTCACCAACGTCCCATTCAGCGTTGACAACGAGAAGTTCCTGGCCTTGTTCAAGGACTTCTCACCAAAGAGCGCTCACATTGTCATCAACTCCAGATCAAACAGAAGCAGAGGCTACGGATTCGTCGTCTTCAACACCACCGCCGAGCAGCAGAACGCTCTCGCCGTCAACAACACCGAGATCGACGGCAGAAAGATCTCTGTCAAGGTTGCCTACCTCCATGAGGAGAAGCCAGCCGAGACTGCCACTGAGACCCCAGTCGCTGCCAACTAAACTAAACTGACCCATCCCCCAGCTCAATAAAGCCAAGGACAGATCAACAGATGTATTGGATACAGGAATCAATCACTCGCGACTCATTGGACTCGCGAGGACTCGTGTGTGGTAGTGGACATGATCATGGACGATCAGTGGATTTATGATTGTTCCTCCAGGCACTGCTTCGATCATCGAACTGGAGATACATGTTGTAGAGCTTGTCAAGGTCGTCGTTCTCGACAGAGTAGAAGTGCGACGGCAACAACTCATCCATGAACTTCTGGAAGAATTGATCGCGCTCATCCAGCGCCACGATGTGAGGCTGAAGTTGTTCATGGCAGAACTCTGTCTTGATGCGATTGATTGACTCATTGTTGCAGAAGGTATCCATAGTGGCTCGATCGCCAAGACATAGACGTTGGAGATAGAGTGGCGTGGGTGGGGCCACGGGTGATCGCATGGAGAATGGTGACTTCAAAGCGATCTCCAACACACGTCGATCACAATGTCCATTGAGCACGGCCAAAGTGAATCCAATCATCTTGCGTATCTGATATTGAATGAATGAGTCTCCTTCAATCTCAAAGGTGACCCATTCCTCCTTGCTTGTGCCTGCTCGCATCATAGTGTCCACAACTCTGATACCAAGTATTCGTTTGTAATTCTTTGAGTTGAGTCTGAATGCCTCCATCTCTGCTTCTCTATCCATTGGTTTGAGTTTCCAGGCGTCTGGCGATGATGAAGAAGATGTTGTTGTTGAAGTTGCTGACTCCTCAGCTTCGCCAGTATTGTCCTCCTCTGCGTCCTCCTCAATGGGGAGCTCCTTGGTAGAGGAAGATGACTTGATATCCTTGTAGGTCCTACGATGATGTGTAAAGTTGTGATAAGAGTTTGGACCAAGGAACAGGGATAGGACGTCTTTGTTGATCTGATCCATTGTGTAGATTGTACCAAGATGTTTCTTTGGCACCATGTAATGATAGGTTCGACTCGTACATTGTTGACGTGGATTGAATGATTTGTTGGTGGGCACCAATGCCATCAGTCTCAACTGTGCAGGCAGATGTGAGTTGACCTCGTCCAAACACTTGGTAAGTCCCTCAGCCGTCCCCAGCCTCGAACGATCCATCTCCAAACTGGCCGACAACAACGTACATAGTGAGTGCACGCCCTTGTCCGTACGACTTGATCTGTTCCAGCGGAGTCTGTTTGGGTCGCCCAGGTTTGATGGTAGGATCATGCCAGCCTTGAACAACGCTTGCTCCAGTACATTCTCCAAAGCCACAAACTCTGTCATACGATACTCCAGTCCGTGATATCCTGTACCAACATAAGCGAATTGCATTGCCATTGGTGTCTTCTCGCGTCTAACCTTGTTGTTATTATCATTGTCTACATAATGTTTGTTATCATTGTAGAACTTATTGATACGTTCAAAGTGCGCCTTCTTTATATCCTCTGCTGAATGTGCTTGTCTCTTTGTCGACTCTGGTCTCGCCACAGCCTTTCCACCAGGTGTTGCATGATATCTCTCCTTCTTCTGCACATTCATCCTTCTTCTATGTTGTCTTCCACTGAACACATCGACAGAGTATTCACGAGTAGAATGTGGCCATGTCGTTATGAGTGATGTTGATGTTGACGCAGGGATAAAGAATAGTCTTGACTTGTTAACTATGTTGTTGCTAAGTAAGTATGACTTTAGGTGATGTAACATTGTTATATATATTATAACAATGAATGAACGAGTCGAGTCATGTGATGTTTGTATGATAAAGACGAATAAATCGGGACTTGATTGTTCCCAAAGAGATCTGAACTTGTCCTGTTTTGGGTCAAAGTGACGCAATTACCATCCATCAATGTTGATGGGGTGGGGTGATGTACCCTTCAAGTTCACCATCATCCTCAACCCTTCATTCCATCAATCAATCAAACACGCATCACATCTTTAACTACTACATCTGTATACTTATAATACATATTATATATATATATATATGTCTAATATTGAGGAAGATAATAATAACTCAAGACGATATTTAGATAGAGTTAATATAGTTGGAAAACACTTGTTATCAAATAAGAGAGAAGAAGAAGAAAGAACAATGAATCAAACAACAACAACATTTGAACGTGTAGCTATTGTATCATATAGTAGAACACCTATGGGTGGTTTCAATGGATCATTGGCATCATTGCCTGCTGTTGAGCTTGCAAGTATCGCCATCAAGGCTGCCTTTGCCAAGTTGTCCGATCCTCAACTGATCAATGCTGTCGACGAGGTCATCCTTGGCAATGTGCTCAGTGCCAATGTTGGCCAAGCACCTGCATCTCAAGCATCCCTCAACGCTGGCATCCCAAAGTCAGTCCCATGTACATCCGTTAACAAAGGTAACATGACTGATTGACTCATTCAATCATTCAATCAATCAACTCATTACTGACACTTATCAATCAGTCTGCGCATCTGGTATGAAGGCTGTTATGTTTGGAACCAAACAGATTCAGACTGGTGAGGCAAACATTATTGTGGCTGGTGGATTCGAGTCAATGTCCAATGTACCGTTCTACTTGGATAAGGCAAGGAATGGATATCGTATGGGCAATGGAACTATCATTGATGGAATGATGAGGGATGGTTTGACCGACCCATTCGATAACTTCCTGATGGGCATTGCCGCCGAACGTTGTAGCAAGGATGAACAAATCTCCAAGCAAGAGCAAGATGAGTATGCACTACAGAGTTACCGCAGGGCGATCGATGCCACAAAGAAGGGACTGTTCAAAGATGAGATTGCCCCCGTCACACTTCCAGGTATCAAGGGCAAGCCAGGAATCACAGTCACCGAGGATGATGAGATCAACAATGTATGTTCAACATGTATGAATGTGTGGACCGTCTGGCGACTCCTCAAACTAACATCCATCCATTCACTCAATCAATGAATGTAGGCTAACTATGAGAAGCTGCCAAACCTTCAGCCATCGTTCCAAAAGGAGAATGGCACTGTTACAGCTGGCAATGCATCGACGATCAGTGATGGAGCATCGATACTTATATTGATGAGTGAATCAAAGGCAAAGGAACTGAATGTGCCAATTATCGCATTCATTAGATCGATGGCCGATGCATCTCAAGAGCCAATCCTATTCACAACGACCCCGTCCCTGGCAATACCCAAGGCGTTGACCAAGGCCAATCTGTCGGTGGACCAGATCGACTACTTTGAGATCAACGAGGCGTTCAGTGTCGTGGCGCTGGCCAACATGAAGCGATTGAACATCCCGCCTGCAAAGCTTAATGTGTTTGGTGGTGCCGTGTCCATGGGTCATCCACTCGGAAGCTCTGGATCCAGAATCATATGTACATTGCTCACAGTTCTGAAGCAGAAAGGTGGTAAACTAGGTGTTGCCAGTATCTGCAATGGTGGAGGTGGTGCCAGTGCCATTGTCGTCGAGATGAACCAATAGTATACCAAGTAGTTAGTGGCCTAATAAGGTTGGGCAAGATCATCAATAAATGTATTATTTACTTCACAAGATCAACAAGTGATGATGTCCATGATTGATTGCCTCGGTAATTGCCAAAGTATACTTTGGTGATTGACAAAGTATTGCCAAGTATTCGACAGGGCTTGTGGATAAATGATTGAGGAGAGGCAGAGGTTATAATTATTATTCAAACAAATAAATACATTTATTTTATGATCAAGATTATAAGGATTATTGTTGGACAGTGCTGGATGTTGGATTGTTGATTGGTATGGCATGTGCCGGACAGAGTGCAAGAGAGAGGGTAGTTGTTGACTGGATATGTTGAACAAGAGAGATGGATGATGTTGTTTTTTTTTTGATCAAAAAAAAAAAAAAAAAAACATGGGAGGCCGTCAATCCCATAGCAGGCCTTTGGTTGCAAGTATGGCAATAGTAACCTTACTCCTTCTTGGTTCTAGCCTTCTTTGGTGCGGCTGGGGCAGCTCTCTCCTCAGTCTTCAAGAGGTTCTTGTGGATGTGTGGCAAGACACCACCTCCGGCAATGGTTGTGTTGTCTTTTGAAATGGTAAAGAAAGAGAAAGGAGAAGAAAGAATAGGTTTAAAGTTAGTTATATGTAACCATATTGGTATGATAGTTTGAGTGTCATAATATACATACTCTTAATCAAATGGTCCAGCTCCTCATCATTCTTGATGGCAAGAACGAGATGTCTTGGGGAAATACGACGGACAGAGCTCTCCTTGACAGTTGAGATGGTCAACTCAAGGACCTCAGAGGCAAGGTACTCGAGAATGGCAGCCAAGTAGATCGAGGCAAGGACAGAGATACGCTTGGTTGGGACACGTCCTCTGAGCAATGTGTGGATACGACCAACTGGGAACTATATTGTTTGATTAATGGAAGAAAGAAGAAAGGTTGATTGTTTGTGTTAATGAATGGATGATGATATAATTATGTTAATGGTTGATATTGAATGAATACATACGATAAGTCCAGCCTTGGAGGACTTGGACACTGCCTTCTTCTTGATCTTGGTTGGATCCTTTGGCTTGGCAACTGCGGCAGGGGTCTTGGATACTTTGGCTGCTGGTTTGGTCTCAGACTATAATGAAATTGAGGTAATTGACATTGTTATAAATGTTAGTGATTGAATATATTGGTTGATTGTTATTTGAAGTGGATGATGAAGAAGTTACTCACACCTACCATCTTGATAATTGATTGATTGGATATAAATTAGATTGTATTGAAAAATACAGGTAATTGATTTGTTTGGTTGAGGTTGGTGAAGATCTTAAAGGAAGAATATACCTTGTGGACCTGGTGTTATGTGTATGTGTAATTATTATAGGTATAGAGCAAATAAGAGAGCTATAACTATGATTAGTGTGTTGGCGGGTGTGAAGTTGAATGACAAAATAAAGTGCGCACGCTCCTCCTCATCATCATCATTGAGTTGAGTTCATTCAACCCCAAATTGTTGATGCCCGTTGACTGTTACTGATTTTCAAAATTTAAAATGGATTTGAATATTCAAATTTTAGAGGGAGAGGTTAACAGTAATTCAATTCAAATTTGAAAAATCCGTTACAATAAACACATTCGATGCATCCAGTGACAGTTATAACAGTTTGGATGAATATGATTAATGATTGTAACTGACATTCAACACAACACACTCATTTTTTTATTGATTGTCAATCAGGTTGCCAAGTCAATATTGCTTGGTCGCATCTTTGTACATGTTGACATTGAAGCGAGCGCCAGAGACTGGCATGGTGGCAAGTACTTGTCTGATACTATGTTGTTCCTCGGTATTTAGATTGAGTCGAGCAGTAGGTTCTCCGAAAGACGGGGCATCTTGGTGGTACCAGGTATGGTGATGAAGGATGGTCCACTGCCTCCTTTTCCACTTCCACCACGAGACATGATCCAAGACAAGATCAATTGGCGGTGTTACACCCCTGACTTTGGCGACCATGTCAAAGGCAGTGACCAACTCATAGTTCTTCTTGAAGTTCTCGCCTTTGAAGCGACTTACGATTAATTATTCCAGGGATTCTTTTGGAAGAGATTGTTGGCAATCAATCCAATCTATATCACCCTCCGATAGCGTTCCATCTCTTTGTGTTATTTGACTACATTTTTTTAAAATATCCAAGATTGGACAAACATACCCAATCACTCGCGCACTAATTCAATCAATGACATCTATGAAATATTGTGACAATAGCAATCTTTATAACATTCCTCTCTCTTATTATTCAATCATACTTCCCAACCATATCTGTTTAGTGTACCTCTACTTTTGGAATGAATCCATGAACTTCAAATAGTAGTGAGATTAGAGAGTTAGGGTAGAGAGAGAGAGAGGTAATACATTGACATGCTCCTTCACTTGCAATACTGGGAGCACGTTGTGTTTCTTCAAATGTGTGATCGTACACACCAAGATTACTTGTTGTTTGATTTCTTTTGAAGTGATCGAAATCCAATTTATTTTAATTTTTGTTCTGCCCAACTCTGCCCATTTGATTCAAAATGCCGAACCAAATGAAATCGAGGTGATGTGTGTGTTGGCTTCACTGACCCGGTGGGTGCTGTCAACCACACACCTGGAAGTTATCGAGGACCTCGATAACATTGGCATGTCTCTCATCACCTTCGATAACTTTCACTTGCCACATCAAATAATCCCTACTCTAGGGATCACACTCTCTCATTCATCATCATAGTCAATCACACATAAAGATATCAATATTATTATTATTATATATGTACTACATTGTTTGTTTTGATACAACCAATCAGTCAATCAATGAATGAATGAATGAATATGTAAGTGATTGAATCATCAATCCACTGGACATAATCAATAATAATAATAATAAGTACTAATCAAATAGTAATAATAATAATAATGATTATGTTTAGTTATAGCATTTGGAAATGAGGATTATGAGTTGGACTCACTCGGACTCAAAGCTTGGCAACAACAACTCTTGGAACATCCTTGGTGGCAAGGAAACGTCCGAGAATGAATGCACCATGTCGAGCACCTTCAGACAAGGCAATGGCACCAGAGATCATCATCTCGATGGTTGGATCAACGCTGCCCTTGGGAAGTGCCTTGAACGTGTTGATGGTCTTGTGGTCCAGGATCTCCCAGTTGCGCAGGATGTCACCGCACTGTCTCTGGTCCATGGCAATGTGAACGTAGAAGCCGGCCTTCTCCATCATTGAGCGGTACGAGTCCAGCGAGGCCAGATGTGGGCAGGAGTGGTGCGCGCAGATTGGCTCGATGAACTGCACGATGTCCTTCTCGGTGGGCTTCTCGCACTGCAGCCAGTCCGAGCCAGAGAGACGACCGCCTGGCTTCAGTACACGGTAGCACTCCTTGACAAAGGCCTGCTTGTCGGGCATGTGGCACGTCGAGTCAAAGAAGGTGATGACGTCGAATGTGTTGTCTGGGTAGGGCATGGCCATGGCGTCACCGTGGTCAAAGGAAGCACGGTCCGACAGTCCCAGCTTCTTGGCGCGATCATTACAGATGGCCACCTGGGACTTTGTGATGTTGAGGCCACGAATCTTGCAGCCGGTGTACTTGGCAATCTCGAGCGTTGGGCCACCAACACCGCAACCAACATCCAGCACGTGGCTGTCCTTGGTGATACGTGCTTGGTCGGCAATGGTGTGCTCCAGACGTGTGACGGCAGACTCTAGCGACTCGGTCGAGCTGCTGAATGGGGCAAAGTGGAAGTGATTGCCCCAGCCACTCTGGTACGTCTCAGTCACAATGTCATAGTAGTCTGACACCATTGTCTGGTAGTTCTTGGTTCTCAAGTCTTCCTGCAGGCGAACAGTCTCGAATGTCTAGAGTGATATGGTGAGAAGAGAAGAGAAGATGGTACAGGTCAGCTCATCAATCAAACATATACATGCTCGAGCGACATCACCTGGCCACACATCATACATACCTTGTCCTTCACGACGACGTCCTCAGTTGGGTCGACCTTGACAACTTGACCAGCCTCGACTGTCTTCTTGATTGAGATGAGGTAGGCATCCCACGACTGGGCCATCTCTCTCTGACCCATGGCGCTAGCAAAGTCAACGAGCAGCTTGGGGATCTCCATGTCGGTCTCAACAGTGGACTCTGCAATCACTTGACACTTGGCATTGTTGATGGTAGTGATGACAAACTTGCCCGTGGAGGACATGTTTCCACCGGACACGTTCACCCAGGTCACAGTGTTGTTGGCGCGTTGGTACTTGCTGATATGTGTAGCCTTCATTTGGATGCTGCCAACACGACGCTCTTGCATCGTCCATCTGAACGTTGTATCATTGTTGCTGGTGTCGACCTTCTCGACCTTATCCACAAATGGATAGCACTTGGAGCACTGTTGCACATCGAGCAAGAAGTCGATCACTCTCTCAGCTGGCGCATCAATGTCCACAGGTTGTTTAGTAGTATAAGTAGTCTTGATCTGGACCATGGTGTTTCTCTCTTTCTCTTTGGTTCTCTTTCTGTCTCTGTTTCAATGTATATGTATGAATGGATACAAGTCAAGTCTCAAACACTTCAAAGTTTGTGCTGTTGGGCCTCGCGAGCACCAGAAGTACGGCATTCACCTCACTCACTCTATCACTCAATCAATCATTCATTCATCAATTATCAACTACTTTCAGCTCACCTCCATCACTCCACTCAGTTGATGTTGGTGCACCAACGCCATCCCACCTCCACCAACACGACAGACACAGCTTGTGCTGGGTGAGATATTGCAAGAGAAGGCAAAGGGTCACATCTTCAACAAACAGTAACAAGCACTCACACACTCTCGGTGGACCTTGATCCACAAAAATTAACCCAGATATTTGGGTAAGTTTGTTGTTGTTGTTGTTCACCTGACTGACTGACTCTTGGCTCTGACCAAGCCAGTGATGCGTTGACAGGCCAGGACAGGCAACACACCTATCTATCCTCAAACATGCAACACCATTGTCAATGCCCTCCCCTCCATACATACACACACACCATACTCCACCAGCCATCAACCAATTCATTGACACAACTGGATGAACACCTTTGCAACAACTCATGCCCACAAGCCTTTTACAACATAATGGGCTAGTTTCATCAAAATCATTCAAAAAAGCGATTATTTCCCAGCCTGATTGGAACCCTCTGGACTGTGAAGCGCCATCAGATGGATGTGCATATCAAACGCATCTATCTATGATTGTTGTTCAGAACAATCAACGACCATGATCAAACGAACGAGCGAGTTAAACAGGGTCAATCAATCACCAATCATCAAGTTGGAAAGACCAATCATAATCATTGACAAGTATTGAACCTACGCGTAGGTACTCCAACTCACAACGACCATCACATACGCATTTGTTTCCTTTCTCCAATTAGAGTGATGTTATTGTACACTGTAATGAAGAAAGGAAACAATTGTAGTGTAGTGCATCATCTTACATCTAGATCAGACAAGTCAATGAAGTAGAAGTAGTAGAAATAACAATAACTTTAAAAATGTAATTGATTGATTGACACTACTCTCTTGTCGAATCGATGTGGACCATATGGTAGTGTTGGTTGATATCGCTCAGATTAGGTGCCATCTAAACACCTTACTCTGGCTGGGCTGCCTAGCTGGCTGGCTGGCTGGTTGGCTTGCTGATTGAAAGCTGAGTGTGATGTTAAAATACAGGTGTACGCCATGGTAGTGCTATGTATAGCTTCAAAGAGTGATAGCCATCCACCTGTGGACATAGTGATAGTGAGAGTGATCCATTGTCGACTATAGGATCAAACCCTTGTCCCTTGATGATATTGATGATAATGATAATGATGATGATGATTGTTGCAGGGCGATGATACATGGGAGCGTAGTTATACACACTGACTGGACAGTGTAGGAGGGGACTTAGTGAACCTTGGACACTGGAAGATTGAAGGCAGGGTTAACCAACTTCTCAGAGGTGCCATCTACGGCAGTACCATTGAGTACCCAATCAGCCGAGTCAAAGTACTTCTTCTGTGGTCTTGGAAGATGATGGTTTCTCAAAGGCAGTCCATACTTTGGATTAATTGGGTATCTAGCCTCAATCGATGAGGTCGAAGATGTAGTGGACATATCATTGTTGATAATCTCTGTGGACATGGTCTAAGTTTGGTTGGTTGATTGTAAAGTTAGGATTGAGTTTGATTGAATGAATTTGATCAAACATACAAAGATTGTAATGGTAAATAATGAGTGATGATGTAATATATCTTGAAATGGATGAATGAATGAATGAATGAATTAATGATCGATGACAATGTCTTAAATATATAGACAACTAACTAACTACTCTAACTCTTAATTAATTAACACACACCGACCCGCTCGCTGGTTAGTGACAGTTTAAAGAGGAGGGAAGAGAGGGTAACGGCTGTGGATTATTGGAGGTGATAGTTTGACGTTTGCCGTTCCTATCGTCAACTGTATGGAATAGCCTTTAAAGGAAAAGGTGCCAACAAGGTAATGATCTATATAAGTGTTATAATATAACAACAATAATATTATTTAAATTGTTAATATTGATTGATTGTTTGATGTTGTTGGATTGTTTGGTTTGTTAATGGATGGTTTGATGATGGGCATAGAATGGATGGATGGATGGATGGATGAATGAAAGAGTAAAGGTGTAAAGGGTGGGTGATGGGAGATTGTGGGCTGGAATGAGCTGCCAGACTCATCGAGGCATTAAGGTGGCTCAAGGTGAATGGAGGTGGACTGAATCCCAACATGTTACATCATCATAAGCCAGATGGGCTGAGTTTGTTGGATTGTTATTATGTTGTTGATAAGATGGGATTGGAGTGGTGGAGTGTGTGAAGGGACGTTGACAAAGACCGTCGCTTTGATCTTACAATGCATCTACCCTATTATTATATAGTATTATGGCCTTGAATGCATATTCGATGGTGTTGGCAACATATTAAAGGTAGTGGTGATATATAGATTGATTGATTGATTGATTGATATAGTGGTAATGGAGTAGTGTAGAGGCGACAACCCCAACCAAACCTCTTGGTGCTCATATATCCAGAAAGGGCAACTGTTTTGATTTGGATGGTCAAAGGAACAGATAGATAGTGTTGCGATACAACCTGTGATCAAACTCTCAACGTGAGTGTGTTTGTGTGTGTGTGGATATGTGTGTGGGGATTGATTGAGTGTGTATGTGTGTGATTGAGCCTTTGGTTATGATGTTGATCACTACACCTTTTGACCTTTCTATCTTACAGGGATGAATTGTCCTTGTGAAGGGAGATGTAAATAATGGACTGGCGCCAGTTGTCAAACTTGTCAACAACCACTTATCGGTAAACACTTGAACTCAGTGTTTCAATGTTGGGATAGATGGATGGATTGATTGATTGATTGATTGATTGATTGATGGATGATGATGTCAAACAGTTTGACATCGAAAATGTAATGATAGAGTTTTAATGTTATTACCTATTTTTGTTGTTATAACTTTTGGATTATCTGTTTAGAACTTGTAAGTTACTTGAGAGATAGATAAGATAAATAATTTAATTATTGATTCAAAGTAAGTAAGTTAGGATGTTGTTTGATAACTAAAGACATATTGAGCTACTTCTTGGTAAGAGTGTGACAAACTAGGTGTTGTTGGGCGGGGAGAGTGTTGGTGAGAGAGAGAGAGAGTGAGAGAAAAGGCAAAGTTCAAAAAGGATCTTTGGATGATGTTGATGACAAGGCCTTGGTGGTGGTTGGGACAACATGAGAAACGACGTAGTAGATTCCTCATTCCTTCCTCCAACCTTCCGACTCTCCCTCTCTATTCAATCAATCAACCAATCAATCAACAGCAAACAACAAACATGGTGAAGTATTTCCCGCTTGGCGTCTATATTAAATTAAACAGTCACTTTTGTGGAACCCATCAACATTATTCACCACTTTTTGAAAGTTCCATCACTTTTTTCAAACAGTTAATAATGTACACAAAGTGATCATGAACAAACTTATATCTGAATGATTATATTATATTAATCATTCTTTCATTCATTAATTGATTCATTCTTTCAAGTCAAGTTATTATTATTATCTCCAACATCTCGGACTTTGCTCAAACAAACCTCTTTAGGTTTTGTATTGAATGGTATTATATCATCAAACTCGTTATTACTATTACCATTTACATAAACAAAGGAGTTGAGTCTTATAAGTATCAAATCACATCTCATGAGTTGAAGTCCAAGTCATTGAGAAGATCCTCCTGGTTACGTTACCCCCATCTCAAAGCATCCAATCACGAAACTTACACATAGACGACACACTCGTTCGTTTGTGAATTTAAATTGTTTTTTAAAACTAATTTATTTGCTTGCAACATTGTATCATTCTCTTTATCTTTATCACTTTTTTTTATAACTTATATATATATATACATAGAGGTACATGCCACATAATACAATGTCAGAACCTAAAGACTTTGTTAGAGGACGTTCAGTGTCATCATCCTCCACTTCCACGAAACCCTACAACAACAAGAGATCATTCGATGATTCAAACAACAAGAGTTCAAGAGGTCGTGGTGGTGGTGCGCCACACAAGATGCAGAGATACTCCTCACAGCAGCCAAGGACAAATAAGAACTATGGCGCCGTGAAGAAGGAGAAGAATGATGATGGCAAGGTCAAGAAAGAGAAGAAGAAGAGCGAGCAGGATGATGTTGATATGCCAGACGATGAAAGTGATGCTGATGATGCACAGGATGACGACAACGACATCATGGGTGACGATGACAATCTGTTGCCGGACGACTATCGTCTGCTGAAACAGAAGAAGTCAAAGATGTTCTCTTCTGGCTCCACTGCCACCTCTGCCGACGGCGACAACGAAGACAACGAAGAGACCGAGGGCAAACCCGGCCAAAAGCCAACACTCAAACTCTCCAAGAAGCAAGAGATGGATGCCAAGAAGATGCTTCCCTTCATCAAGACCAAGCTCAATCGATTTGCTCAACGTCTGATGTTGAAGGTATGTCATAACCTTGTTCAATCTCATTCGCTCGATCACATACTCACCCCAATCAATCAATCAATCAATCAACTTTACAGGACTTCTACACAGGAATGGTCGTGTTGGGTAGCTTTGAGAGTATCTCCAACATGGATTTGACGTTCAGCTTGCCGTTTGGAGCCAAAGGCTTCGTCAAGTTCAATGAGATATCGGACGAGTTCACAAAGATTCAAGAGGCAATCATGAAGGACGATAAGAACTATCGTTCAAACTTTGCAAAGTTTGACGCAATCTCTGAGCGCATCAAGGCCATGTTCATGGTGGGCCAGATGATCAAGATCGGTGTGATTGGTCTGACTGATCACGCCACCTCACCCGGTCTGCATTGTACATTAAGACCGGAGATCGTCAACGTTGGCTCGAGCACGGCCACCTTTGCCGAGGGCATGACCATCTACGGCTCGGTCAAGTCCGTCGAGGACAAGGGATACGTCATTTCGTTTGGCAAGGACGTCTCGGCCACAGGCTTCCTCGAGCGCAGCAACACAAGATACTACTGGCCAGTGCAGGGCGTCAGCTTCAACGAGCAGGAGTGCCGTCTGTCGGTTGGACAGCCGGTGGAAGCCGTCATCACCAGCATCGATGAGAGCACCAACGTGTTCAAACTCAACGCCAGTCACCCACTGTTGACAAGATCCACCGTGGACAACAGCAACGTCATCACAATGGACTCGATCAAGGCCGGTATGATGGTGGACACCAAGGTCTTGAGGGTCTACCCCAACGGTCTGACCGTCACCTTCCTGGACTACTTTGCCGGTGACATCTTCATGCTTCATCTGGAGAAGCCACTTGCCGACTACAAAGAGTCAATGAATGTATGTGTACATTGATCAGTCGATTGTGATCACACCAGGGCCACACTAACAATCCAATCCAAATCAACCAACAGCTCAAGGCACGTGTATTATATGTGGACCAGATTGAGAAGAGGATTGGCCTGTCATGTCAGTCACATGTGTTGGGTCTCAAGCCATACCCATTCGGCCACGTCAAGGTCGGAGACATTATCAAAGCTAAGGACACAGTAGTCGAGCGTGTTGATCAACTGGAGATGGTGATCTCACTACAGACATCCGATCAGAAGAAGATTAAAGCCTATATGCACACACAGCAGGGCGACGACATCACCAACCTGAAGAGCAGATACCAGGTTGGCAACACTCTGGCAAACGATTGCCGTGTGAAGCATATCGATCACGTCGATGGCATGCTCACCGTCACCACCAAGAAGGGCGAGTTGTCCAAGGGCCTCTTCTCCTACTTTGACATTACACCAGCCATGATATTAAGTGTAAGTTATATATATCGATTGATTGGTCATGAACCATCACTCATACTAACATTCGTGTTTGATCATAACAGGGCACAATCAAGATTATAAGAAAGGACTCGATTGAGGTCATTGTTGGACCTTCAATATATGGAGTGGTGCCATTGCACAACATTGGAGAGACTATACTCTCTGACCCCAATAAGAAGTTCAAGGTTGGACAGACGGTCAAGTGCCGTGTGTTGGCCTGCCAGCCACAACAGCGTCGTCTGCAGCTCACACTCAAGAACTCACTGATCCAGTCCACTCTGCCACCATTCACCCAATACGACATGATTAAGCGAGGCGATATCTCGCATGGCTACATCACCAACATCAGAGACAACAACATCGTCTTTGTATCGTTCTACGAGAAGTGCTTTGGCATCATCCAGAAGAGGAATCTGTCCAGGTCACCCGTCAGCTTGATAGAGAACAGCTTCAGAATTGGTCAGGTGGTCACTGCACGTGTCCTTGGAATGAACAAGGTATCACTCGATCTCACCCTGGTACTCGACGATCCAGTGTTTGATGACCTGCAGATCAAGGAGGAGCCAGTTGAGGAGGAGAACACAGTCGATGTCAAGGAGGAGAAGGAGGATAGCGAAGACGATGACGAAGAGGAAGAAGATATAGAAATCAAAGAAGAGTCAAGTGATAGCGAAGAGGCTGAGGTCAAAGAAGAGTCAAGCGATAGTGACGACGAGGTTGAAGTCAAGCAAGAGTCATCATCAGAGGAGGAGGAAGAGGAAAAGGTCGTCGCCAAGTCACCTGCTGGAAGAGGCAGAGGCGGAGCAAGAGGAGGAAGAGGAGGCAGAGGCAAGCCACTTCCATCCAAGAGCAAATAATAAATAAATAATCATTTAATATCTATATCAAGGGTAGGGTATAGGGTAAGGGTAAGGGTAGGAACTTTATTGTACCGGTGTGTCGCTGAAGATGGATGGATTGATTGATTACTTCTTGGTCCTAAAGGTGGTCAATTGACCCTCTGTATCGGATATCTCTCCACATGGCCAACGCTTGAACTCGGTCATCTCCAGTCCTTTGTAAAAGACGTACTCACAGTAGCGACGCTCGGTGGTCGTGTCCTCGAGTCCGGTGGAGCGCAGTGTCTTGTAGTTGTCACCACCGGTCTTCTCGGTGATGTACGACAGGAACACGGTGGGCATGTCGTTCTTGGTGATAATGTCGGCGGCGCCCTGTGCCTGCAACTTGCGGTCCAGAACATCCTCAGTGTTTCCAAAGTGCGTGACGATGACGTTGACTTCGACGTCGTCCACCTTGATCACTGCGTCGATCAGACACGCCAGCTCGCCCTCGGGCGATGGCAGGATTACGTGACGACTGCGCTCGATTGGGAAAGCCGACAGCAGTGCACAGCCCCATGTGTTCTCAGATGGCGCTGGGCCAAAGTCGCTGTGCATTTTAAGCTCGTTGGCAACGTACTCGACAAGGTCGCGGTTCGAAGTCATAATCCTGGAGAGATCCGACTCGAGCAGACCAATGACGTTGACACCATGGCTCTTGATGGCCTCTGTGATGTTGGGGAAGCTGTTGCGGCCATAGTTGTCGTAGCCAAAGTGGATTGTCCAGATCATGGACTTGATCTCTGTGGGTGGCACGTACTCCATGTCGCCATCGGCCGTCGTGATCTTGTCGTAGTGGACAGCAGCCACGTTTGATTGTGATGGATGGAATGCATTCCTGTTGATTGAGATCAGAACCAAAAGACCAAGAAGTGTGAAGATTGCGTAGAATACCTCGCGTGATGGGAAGCTAACAGTCTGTTGGCGTGACTCCTTCTTATGTGGAAACGTGTCTTGGTTCAACGCTCCAATTCCACATGCAATCACTGCAGCGATCACCATCGTCTGATGACGTTCTCTAAGCAGAGTTGATCCAAGATACCATGGAACGAATTTCTAGAATTGGTGATTGAATTATGATGTCAGTTGATTGAATGAGTTATTGGAATAGTTCCAGTGATTGGTCAAACATACGTATGATACAACATAGATGGCCCAGAATAAGAGCACGGTGTAGGTGATGAAGGCATAGCTAAAGAGTGCAAGGGGTGCTGAGGTGTTGGACATCTTCTCGATTGTGTTGTACCAGAGTGACATGGCATAACAGACCACTAGACAGCCGGATACAAGGCCAACCAGACCAATCGCAGTTGGTACTGTGCCCGAGCAGAAACCGTACAGAGTGGCCATGGCCAGAGAAAAGAAGAAGTAGCCTCTCGAGTTCACCAGAGCGGTCTTCTTGCTAATGACAATGCCAATCACCATGAACAGGACAACCAGTATGCCGCTTGGGAATGGTCCAAAGTTGACCCAACGTGGCACCACTCCGTACGATGAGAGGAAGAGCTGGCCCATGAAGACCAGACCGCCAAAGCTGACGCCAGTGGTAAGTGGCGACTCGCTGTCCTCGAGGACCGGACGGCGGCGCTCGTGCGCATCGTCCGACGAGACCAGATCGTTGATCAGGGCAAAGCCCGACACGACCACCAGAATGATGCCAAAGACGATCCAGCTCTTCCAGGTCATGAATGGGTTGATCGAGTGATAGGGCATGCGAATGATGGCGTGGAACACGATGGCCAACATGTAGGCGAATGTCGTGCGCTCGCGACGCTGCACCGTCGTGTTGCTCGTGAACTGACGGCATTGGCACATCCAATCAAACGCGAAGCCCAAGCCGACAAACACGGTCTTGGTGACGTGTGGGTTCTTCCAGAGCACGAGATCGTTCTTCTCTGCGTAGTTGGGGTCGATGTCGTATGGGTACAGTGCTGCCAGTGACATTATCTGTGCGACCAATCGTACGGCCACCAACAGACGACCATTACTGAGTAGCTGGTTCAATGGACGGATTCCCAGCAACAAGGGTGTGAAGCACATCACGAGGAATGCCTCCATGCCCGTGAAGCCCATGAAGCCCATTGGATAGAACCAGATGATTGAGATGTATTCCACCAGTAACGAGAAGTTTACAAAGGCCAACATCGTCTCTGAGGCCAGCAATCCCATGTGCTTTGGTGAGAATGGCAATGATATGCCACCACTGGCAACACTTCGCTTCGAAGCAGCTGTTGTCATGTTATATATATATCTTGTATGTATCTGTTTGTTGAACGTATGTATGATTGATTAATGTTGCAATTTGACTCATTGAGTGTGTTTGAGAGTTCGCGTGATACCCGAAGCGGGCCTTGAAGGCTCAGGGGTTAGACCATTCGTTTTTTTGCGAGGCCCACTTCCTTTTATGGCGGCCAATGCTTGAACATCGTTGACTTATTCGATGGCATTGTCTTTCATTTATTTAGGTGTCAAGAATACTTTGGTAAACTCAGTGTCCTTGCGTAGGATGTAGAACATTGGAATGCCTGGAATGATATACTCTGGATGAGTGAGCACCTTCTCGATTGTGGTAGTATGCTTGACGCGTATCCATCGTTTGGCACTACCGCGCTGTTGTTGACCTTCCACTGGCCTTGCCCAGTTGGTCTGGAAGTAGATCTCAAGATTGGGCAATATATACTGTCCACTCTTGTCCCATGGTGCAGGATGCTCAAACATCACCTCGAGGTGATCGCCAAATGTACATCCCTCCTCAAAGTCCTTGACAAAGTCCTTCTGATTGTACTCGGGATAGAAGAACAACACTGGGAAGTGTCCTGCGCCACTGTTGTCATCGCCATCAAACTTGATCTCTGTTTCGTACTGTGATATATCATAGAATGGTTCGCCCAATGTCATATGCTTGCTGGCCAACAATGTTGCCAGTGCCCTCTTTTTGTCGCGGGCACTAGTCTCTGCCTCGAGTTTGTCGGCTTCACGTTTACGTGCCTTTTCAATCATGGCAACTGACTCATCGCGCAACATCTTTATATCCTTATTCTCTGGCTCCACTACCAATGCTCTATCAGCCAGATTGATTGCCTCTGTATACTTTCCAAGCGCGATCATAGCCTTTAGCGCCCTAAAGTATGCCTTCATATTCGCTTCATTGAACTCAACAGCAATCAAACAATCTCTTATGACCTTTCCATAGTTCTCTGTTGCGTGGACATGGGTTGTTAGTCATTGCGCGGTATGGTCATGCCCTACCCTCGCCCTCGCCCCCGCCCTCGCCTCCACTTACTGTTGTCAAGATTGACTGCTGCACGATTGGAGAGATAGATTGAGTTGCGCTTCATGTCTTTGGTCTTGATGTCCAGTGCCTTGGTGTAGAAATAGATTGCCTCTTGTCTGTATCGATCGCGTTCATCCTTCTTGGTGGTGGTCTTTGCGTTGGACAGTTGGAATCGCTCGTTGCCCTGATCCTTGTAGCTGTCGGCCAGCTCCTCAGGAGTGCACTCATCTGTGATTGATTGAATGGCGTCGAGCATTGGGTTCGCACCCTGTGGTAGACTGTCCATGAAGATGGGCAGACGTTCCCATGCTGAATCCTCTTCGTCTGGTGGTGGAGTGATACCCTTTGCAATCAACTCATCCCTAGCCTTTTGTTTCTCTGCCTTTTGTATCTTCCACTTTGCAACACTATTACTCCAGATTTCATTCTCCTCCTCTTCAGTTAATCCACCTGTTGCTGCTGCATTAGCTTGGCTCATTGTATCTATCTATGTTATGTATATGTATATGTATATGTATGTTCAATCTTTGTCGATGAATGAATGAATGGACGAGGGTGTCTTAATCTTGGCGAAAGTTTCGGAAACTCGAAGTTTCGTGTCCCCCTAGACCATCTTTCGTGAAGTTGAGGACTCAACTCGCTGAATTCATTCATTTTCAACAACAACTTCATCATACTTATACTTATACTAATACTTAATATATATAATAGATAGATAAAATGAGTAACAAGAAACAAAGATTAGAGAAACAGAATGAACCAGAGATAGAGGTGGAGGGTGATGATCATGAGGAGTTGGGTGGAATCACTTCAATATACGAGACATTGTTGAATAATGCTGAACTAGTTGCTCAATCAGAAAAGATAACAGAAATCAACAACAAGAAGGAGTTGGAATCAGTTCAAATAGACAAGGAGGAGTACAAGCTATGCAAATCACTCTATGAGAAGCGTGCCAAGGAGCTTGTAAAGCTGGACAACTTCTGGAAGACTGTCGTATGTTTGATTGAATGATCAAATGATCGAATGAATGATTGAATACTAACATACAATGACACGACATAATAATGATGATGATGATGATGTAGTTCTACAACGAGTTGAGTCCACAACTTGGCACTGATGAGGATGATGGACTTCTTTCATACATCATCGACTTCTTCATTGAGGAGACTGACAAGGAGTTCGTGATCAATTTCGTAAGTCACTGATGATGATGGAGTGCATATACAACACAGACACAGTCATCTGACCAATCAATCAATCCTTCCCATTTACTCGATCACTCGGACTCATTCACTCAATCTTTGGATGAATAGACATTTGCCAAGAACAATATTATAGCTAATGAGAAGGTCACTGTTACCTGTCAGACACCTACTACACCAGAGGATATGCAGGCTGATCTGCCTATCAAGGTCACTGATCTCACTGTGAGGAAGAAGGATGCCATCGATAATGATCCGCTATTGCAGTTCTTTGCCGAGCCATCAAGGCAGGTATGCGTGATGATCACAAATGTTTGGATGAACCCATTGGATGTGTATCTGGTAAGATTCATTCTCTTTCATTCATTCAATCATTGATGATCATTGGTCACTAACATGTTACCATCACTTCAATCAATCAATCAAATAGGCTGCGAATGAACCAGAGGGATTGGATGATGGCGAGGGTGAGGAAGAGGACAATGAGGAAGGAGACGAATAAACATCGCGCAACCTTGCGATGCCATGATCAATTATAATGTTTGGAATTCAAATGGTTTATTATTCGATGAGGATGATGATTGTTGATGGCTGGCTACTTAAAATACAATATCAGATTGGCAGGTTGGAATGACAACAACTCAGTTGTCCTTCTCTTTGTGCTCATGCGATGACACTGCATGTGACTTCTTGGTCTCCTGAGGATGCACCTCTGATGGGATGACGATGGCATTGTCCTCATTGTGCGAGCGGATATGGTCCGAGATAGTATGATTGACATCACGATGATCACACTCATCCTGTCTAATCACCATGATCACATCACGCAACTTGGCATCCTCTGGCAGACCCCAATAATCAATCGCGATCTTTGGAGCTTCAACATTCTTAACCTTGCCATCATCCAAGTCTCTAAGCATGTTGGTATCTTTTGATTGATTGATTGATTGATTAGTTAGTGGACTGTGGCATGGAACTATTCCAAGTATGATTGATCATGTGATGTATGACATACATGTGAGGACAGCCTCTTCCTCGAGGTATCCGGTGAATCTATGGGCAGTCCTTGGACTGAGGAGGTAGAATACTAGGAAGCAGTTCCAGTAGATGGCCTGGACAGAGGCAATACCAACTCTCTCCCACTTGGTTGGCATTGAGATCTCCATAAAGGTCATCAGATGCATACGCTCATTCTCTGCCTCGTCTAACAACACCTTGATCCAATTGTTATGCTCCATATTCCTAAGAGTCTTCAAATGCTGGAGCATACCCGCCACCATTCCTGGTACAGCGGCTACAGTCTCCAATACACATGCGTAGTGGATGTACTTCTCCTTGAAGAATCTTGATTGAGGTGTGTAAGCGCACATGATGTGGCGAGGCGTGGCGCGAGAGTAACTTGATTGACTTACAAGTTGGACAACTTTCTTAGACTCCACACGGCGAATCTGGCAAAGTTGTCAGAGATGCCTCTGGGCTCGTGGCGCGGGGGCATGACAAACTCCTTCTCCATCTTGGCGAGCGCAGTACGGTCGGACACGGCGTATTGTGTACTGTTGCGATGGTACTCTTTTGATTGTTTCTTGAAGTATGAATGTCCAACAACAGTCATATTTCTATATTGTTGCCATGTTGGTGTTGTTGTAGTTGTTGCTGCTACTGATGTTGTTGATTGAAGTGCTGATCCAATGATCAAATTGGATCTGGCTACAATGTTCTGTCTTGTAGACAGTGAGGTCATATGACCTATATTCCTCAATGCTATGTTCATTGTTGATTGGTAAGATGTATAACTGTGTGTTTGATTGATTTGTTGATTGTTGATTGAATGACTTGTTCCAATGTTACTTGAATGACTGTGTTGTTAAATATGCTTGATGGCCAAGGCTAAAATTGTTTATCAGTTGCCCCCAGGCCAACAACCCTCGGTTAACTGTGATGATCATCACAAAGTGTGGGTCTGAAACATTCAACTTACCCCACACCCACACATTCGCAATCAATCAGATCGGTGTTTTGTTGCCTAAAGTGTAAATTGGATAAATGGCACTCACCCAGGACAACAACTTTCGACGTCATTTCCATCACATATAATACAACAAGCATTACATTCATGAAGCAACCATCTACAGATGGAATAGACCCATGCATGACGTAAGTCTGAACAAGATTGTACATCCTAGTGTCCTGGACCATGTCCGACCCAATTTAGGCGGGTCACAAGACGAGTGGTTTATTTACATCAACTGTACAGTGTCGGTGACCTCATAGTATCTAGTGATGGGATCAGTACTACCTATTCTCATCAAGTCCATTGAGGCAAACATCTGAACGCCATACTCTGTGTTGGCATAAGGTGCACAATCCTAAAGTCAGAGGGAGATAATGAGTGAGGGAACCGATGGAATGACACAAGTATGTGTACTTACATTGATGGCAGCAGTAAACTCAGGACCACCTCTACCCTTGGCTAGGGTGATGTGTGGACTCCATCTATCTTCAAGATCGATCTTATTGTCCTGGAACAGTTTGGTAAGACTGGCTGCGAACTTGCCCAAACTTACATTATCATCATCCTGTTTCAGTCCAGCGAACAGTACTCTATCTGAGAATGATCTTATTCCACTATTCATTCATTCAATGTTAGGACACATTCAATCATTCAATCTCAATGATGACCAATCAATCAATCAAACAATCATACCTCACAGTAACCTTTGATGGAGTATTATTGTAAGCCTCATTCATTAGTGTCTTGGCCTGAGACATTAATGACTTGACGATGGGTAGTTCAGTGGCTGGGTCTTTGAGTGTCATCACAAACACGGTCAAGTGGAACTTGTCCGATGAGGTCAATGACCTCTTGATGCCTGGCACACGTACTGACAGTCTATCCTGCACATCCTTCAACTGAGCATTGATCAACTGATTAGTGATCTTTAGACCAAAGAAGTAGTTTGGTCTTTGTTGTTGTTGTTGTTGTCCTCTTCCAAGTCTTGATGCCATTCTATTCATAATATATATTGAAACAAACAATATTAATATTGTAATAATGATAGTCCTCATGTATTATATATCTGTTGGATGATCAGGTGACTGATTGAGCAACCCACTGGAGGGCGCTCACACAATCAAACATGATTTCCATTTATGATCAGAAATTCCCCAGAAATGGTAATCCGTATCCAACAAGTCCAGGAGTATCCTGCTCCAACAAACATACATACACATAATATTAACGTTTGTTTATTTGTTTGTGTCCTTCTCAATGACATCGATGATATCGCCAATTTGAAGTTCACCGGGCTCAGCCAACACCATGAGGATACCAAGGTAGACTTCGCCAGTGGTGTCCTTGCGATACTTGCCAAGAGTTCGCAGTGGCTCGTTGTCATTGTATGGGTTGAGGACGGCCGTGTCGGGATCGACTGTGGTGAATTTACATCGTCCGGTGCGATCCACCTTGTGCAGCAGTGCGTCTCCAATGCGTATGGTCTTCCAGTCGTCCTCCTCAAACGCCGATGTGCCCAGAAGCAGCACGTTGGGACGGAAGCGACGCTCGTCCATCTTCTTCCTCTGCTCCTCGTTGTTATCATCGCGAGTCTCTTCCACCCTGAGGTTGAGGTCATCGATTGATGACTGCGAGAGTATCATCACCTGGCTAGCATCAGCAAATGTGAATTGGTATTTGTTTAGGTCCTCTTGAGTTGGCTCGCCATCGACCAAAGTGCGTGCGTACGACTCTCTGATGGCGCGACGGTGTTCAGAACCCATTTGCACCAGACGTAGGTCCGGCATCTGAAGCACATTGCTCATCCAGGTGGCAGCCTCATCGCCACAGTCATTGGCAATCATTGTATCCTTCCATACTGTGACCTCTATCTTTGCGGGCGACTCCAGATTGATTGGAACTATAAGATCCTGAGCATTCGGTGCTCTAACAATCAGATTCATTCCATCCAATGATGGAGCAATGTTTGCCAATGCTGGATACTTTCTCTGTGTAATGAATCTACCCTCCTGTACAATCATCCAACGTCTATCATTCTCCAATCCCCACTTGTCCAAGTTGACTCTCTTCAACTCAATACCTTGACATGACTTGACTGATGTGTTTTGAAAGAGTTAGTATTGTATTGAGTAAGGTCTGTTTGAGTAGACTTACTTGGATATATGATTAGTTTAGATACTCTTATTTGACCTGATCTCTCTGTAGCATCTCTTCTGCCGCCTTCATTATCATTATCATCACTTGATGTTGAAGGTTTAACATAATTCCTTAGAGCCCATATTAGAGCAAATGTACCTAATGCTAAAGATAAGTATAGTGGTATTGATGGCTCGACCATTATTGATTGATTGATTGATTGATTAACTATATCTCTATCTATTACAATATTGAGTAAAGTTAAGATGATTGAGTGAATGATGAATTTTTAAAGTTGTTGACGTTGTTGGGGTTGTAGACATGTTCACAACATCTTTGCATTTGGAACAGATCTAGCCCATTCCATGCTTCTGCGAATGTTTGAGAACATCACGTGATTTGTTGTCCCGGCTCGCAAAGTTATAACAATGTACATATATATCTTTATTCAATCAATGTATTGCAGACTGGGTATGAATATCATGGATAGAATACATACTTGGAACCATCAACTGATAACCATTGTGATTGTGTGAGAAGATGTTGATTGCCAATCATAAGTTCGATGATGGCTCGTCCAACATTGGATGATAGTGTACCAACAAAGTATTGACATTGTGATGCTATCAAGGTTTGTAATAATATGTTGACACCAACTGAGAACTTGACATTGGATGTAGCATTCAACATTACCAATGCATTGGTCAATTGATCATTGAATTGGAATGGTTCCCGAATAGTTGTAAAGTTGTACAATGGATATTGTTTGAGTAAATTGTTGTTGCTGTTGATAGTATTGTTGTTTGTCATTAGGAAGATGTTCTTGTGATTATACAACTCGGGCATTGATAAAGACAAGTTGAAGCGACCTGTAAAGAAGTTCATGTAGTCCTCCAGGTAGTACACGACGTTCTCAGCTGCCTTGTCACCATTCCTAATGTGTACGGCTGCACATTCGACTGGTCTCTGAGTGTCCCACAATCCCTTCTTGAACATGAACAATAGACGACGTATGAGATAGTTTGGCCGCAGCAAGTAGTCCATCTCAAGTGATCGCACCGTGATGTCTATCCACGCCGGAGGCATTATTGGTCGATTGTCATGTTTTGGTATCTTCTTACCTCTCTTGTGGTTGGCATCTCTGATCTGTGCCTCGGTGCATGATGCCAGAGGCAACAGGTAGTCATCCCATTGATCGATGTATGGGAAGTTCTTGGTGTCCTCCACGGTCATCAGCTTTTTGAAGCTGAATATGTGGAGGTCACGAGTCACAGAGTGCAAGTCCGAGAACATTCCATGCGGTGCGATCATGCTCGTCGCGCCATTCACAGTTTCGCATGTCATTCCACCGCCATCCTGGAGCTGAAACGTTTGTTTCCAGACACTTGTCGAGAACCGCATGTTGTCCAGACTTTGAAGATACTCTTGCTTCGAGCGGAACCTGTCCTTCTTCAAGATGGCGATGATACCAGTCTCGCGTGACTCATCATCATAGTCACACACATTGTCAATGTTTGAGTTGTACCGCCACAGCCTATTCTGCATGATGAACAGGTCCAAGTATACCTCCAGTGTAGTCTTGATTGAACATGGTCCAACTATGATGATAGTCCTCTGAACGTGCTTCTCGTACAGGAACAGATTCCTCATGAGCAATGGATAGTTCTCAACATGATTGATGTCCATCATCATTGTCTCCACTGAGCCCACATCAGACGAGTCCGAGATAGATGAGAACAGTCTATATCCACTTGTAGTCTTGTTATCCAGGTCATAGTATGATGTCAAACAGTTGAATGATATACCATCCACTTTGATCAAGTCTGATGTGGATTCAAATGGATGGTCTGTGGCCACATGACCATGATCACGACTGGCGCGCCAAGAGTATGATGTGATGGTATGATCAAAGTAGTTAGGGATCATGTTGGTGTCCATCTCCTGAGGTCTCTTTGCACGTTGATCTTTTGTATCATTGTATAAAGCAATCCAATCGAATCCATTGTTGATGTCTTTCCTTGATTGATGTGTTGGTGAAATGTTGAATGGTGCTGTCTTTCCATCCTCATCATATTGTGATAACTTGTGAATGAGTAGATCACTTGGTGATTGTTGTTGACGTAGTAGTACATTGTTATCCATCCCATTCGCATGTCTGAATTGTAACAATACATTGGCGATTGCTTCATTGTCCATTGATGTACCATCCACTTGAACATAGATGAACCTTGGATAATGAGATGAGTCATCATCATCATTGATGGCCAACTCTTTGGTATCAACAGGAGTAGCACCGCCTTCATAGAACTGTCTCTGATGTATACTGATCTTGTTGTTTGGAGGAGGTGTGACACGTGATGATTCATTGACACCACTTTGATCACTTTGATCAATGTCCAGACTATTGATCAACAACATGTTAACAACAATCACCAACAAGACAGCGATTATAATTAATACTCTTCTGGTATGATTCCATTGTTTAATTCTATGAAACATATATATATTTGTCTATGTAGTTATCACTCATCAATCAAACAAAAGAAGAACAATCACATGACACGTCGACTCATCATGTGACCTTTGGAAACAAAAAAAAAAAGATGTAGATTAAGGCTGAGACAAAGAGTTGATCGATTGATCATGGAAAGAATATATATTTGGATCCATCGATGGATGCCCACTTGGCATCGTTGACAAGGTTTTCACTGCCAACCATCAACTCTATGACTGCTCGACCAAGGTTTGATGATAATGTACCAAGGAAGTACTTGCACTGTGACGCCAAGATAGTCTGTACCAACAAGTTGGCGCCAACCATGAACCTGTCCTTTCCAGGATGAAACTTTAACTCATCGGCATTGGTCTTGCTGTCATCGATCAGTACAGGCTCCTTCATAACATTAAAATTGAATTCTGGATAGTTCTCGGCCAGGTACTCTGGGTTGGACAGAGTATTGTTGTTGGTCATCAGGAAGATGTTGTTGTAATTGGTGAGATTGAATGGTACGTTGTACTGATGACTAAAGAATGATAGGAATGAGTCCAGGGTGTACACCTTATCCTCTTGCACCTTGTCACCATTCCTAACATGTATGGCCACACATTCACTCGACCTTTGAGTCTTCCACAGATCCTTCTTAAACATGTGCACCAGGTAACGGGTCAGATAGTTGGGTCTGACGATGAAGTCCATCTCGATTGATCTGTCGACAATCTGTTTCCAATCGGTGGGATCGATGGGTTCGCCATTGAAGTTGCTGCCCCGTGGGTATCTGTTCCTTTGGATGTTGTTAAGTCTGATGTCATCCAACGAACAGGACGCCAAGGGCAACAGGTAGTCATTCCATTGGTCGGCATAAGGGAAGTATTCAGTCTTCTCAACAGTCATGTCGTTGTTGTTGCTGAACGCGTGCAAGTGGTCGGTGACAAAGTGGAGGGAGGAGAACATGCCATGTCCTGGAATCTCACCATTTGCGCCGTCGACAGTATCACATGACCCATTGGGCATGCCCTGGAACGTTTGTTTCCAGACACTGGTGGAGAATTGAAGATTATCCAGACGACTAAGGTGTCTCTGCTTGGACAGGTACGGGTCCTTCTTAAGGATGGCAAGGATGCCTGTCTCGCGGGAGTACTGGTCATAGTCACACACGTTGGGCGAGCTGGCATTGTACCGCCAGACTCTGTTCTGTTGGATGAACAGGTCAAGATGCACCTCTAGGTCGAACTTGATTGAACAAGGCCCAATAATGATTATTGATCTATGGACGTGCGTCTCGTAGTTGAACAAGTTCCTAATGAGCAATGGATAGTTGTTCACTGTATTGATGTCGAGCACCATGATCTCCAAACTCTTGCCAGCCAGTTGATCGGCGTCGTAAGTGGAGGAGAACTGGAGGAATCCATTCTTGTTCATATCATAAGTTGAGATTGAACAGTTGAATATAATATTGTTGATTGTTAATGTTGAGTTGTTGACCTCCAGCTCCCTTGGAGAGTACTTTGGGACGGTGGCATTGTGATTGGGAAGCCAAGATAGTGACACAATCGGTTGGCTAAAGTATGATGGCTTTCGATCAACCTCTGACTCGGCCTCCTTTGACTGGGTCTCTCTCCTCTCGGTCGCCCGCTCATATATCATCGTCCAATTGATACTGTTGGTGTAGTTGTACAATGGAAGTTGGAATGGATAGATGGAGAAGGGTGCCCTCTGCTTCCCATTGTAATGCGTCAATGATCCATACATCCGACGGATCTGAAGGTCGATCGGTCGACCCTCCAACTCGGCGTTGTCCAGTCCATCGGCATGTCTATATTGTAGTAACACTTCTGCTATTGATCTCCTGTCCATCATATATCCATCGACCTGTACATATAAGAAGTTGTATCTTGATTGATTATACTGTATTGGTTGTTCATTATTATTGTCAATTGGAAAGTCTATACCATTGTAATATGATTGGGTATGATTCTCGAATTGATCTATAGTTGATGGTGATGTTGATGTTGGCGTAGTTGTAGTTGTTGTTGTAGTTGTATTGTATATTTGTGAGTTTGTTGAACTTGAACTGATTATTGAGCTTGTGGTTGTTGTGGATGTGTAGTGGATATAGCCACTTGTACTGTCGCTACTGTAGCCACCACTACTGCTACTTGGTATTATATAATTGGTGGTGCCTCTATCAACATTCATACTACTACTACTTGATATGGTTGTACTACTATGACCTCCACCACCACTGCTACTACTACTACCTAATATGGTTGTACTACTACGACCTCCATCACCACCACCACTACTGCTACTGTATTGGTAACTAACACTACTACTACTTATGGTACTCGTCCTGATGTAGTCACCACCACTTGTCCGACCATTCGACACTGCACTTGTAAAGTCTCCATTTCTGTTTCCACTTGTTATACTACTACTTATTATACTACTTCTACTTATACTACTACTACCTATATTCTTATTACTATTGTTATCATTATTATTATTATTATTATTATTATTATTATTATTATTATTATTATTAGTATTAGTATTAATATTTACTGATCCTTTTATCCTTTGATGATGCTCATCTTCTGATACATTAAAGCTAACAAATAATAATAATACATTGATTAATAATACTGTTACAACAAAGGATAACAAGAACCTCTTTGTTTGAATATTACAAGATGTTAAATAATTGATCATTACTATTACTATTGAGTTGGAACTTGTACCAAATCATTAATCATTACCTTTTTATTATTTATAATAGGTTGTAATGCATTGTCTTGCGAGCAAGGTACCACCTGAGGTGGTCGGCAGAGATTGGGTATACCATTACCCAATCACAGGAACAATCTTCATAACATTGTTGATACAAACGTAGACATAGAAATAGTACTCACTTTGCCTGTGATGGGGGGGATGTCTCTCCCTGTAATCACGAGCAATGAGTAGGCAAGTGTGATGGTTGGTAGAATCTGAGATGATCAATTATACAATATCCAACTTTCGGCTGTCTGGAAACATCATCAGGGGGTCCATTCGCACTATGCATCTACCCCATTAAAGAAAAGATAGATTGATATTTGAGTTTTAGGGGGCTTAGAATTGGACCTTGGACTTAGAACTAAGGAAGCTCTCTCTACAAGGTGATTTCGACCAAAAACAAAAAGATAAACGTCATCAATCATTCAAAGAACCCTAGACATATGTATCAAAACATTAAAGCATATTATTATCACATACAGACGTCTGTTGGATGGTTTGGAATACGTTATCCATTACGGTTGCACTTCCAACGCACAGGACCACCTTGCCGAGGACCGTGAGGCCACCAATATCGGAGTAACTATGACATGGTTGCAAGGTGGTCGACACGATATCTTGATTAACCTGGATGGAATTCTTATTCACTAGAAGTCGAAGATGATTCCTTGAGACCAACCCAACTTCTCCGGTCTCTGTCACGACCAAACCTGTGGTAAGTAGGAGTTCCTACCCATAGAACCATGTTACTTCTACTGAATAACAAGTTAGATTCGACGGCTTTTTTTAGCAGATAAGTAAAGCAAACAGAATGCCTCAAAAAACGGACAGCTTAGCCAAGTGGTTACGGCGTTTGACTTGAAATCAAATCCCTTCGGGGGCGCAGGTTCGAACCCTGCAGTTGTCGAAAACCTTTCTGTTTTTTTTTACTGTCAATGTAAAATGATGATCCAAGTTTCACTAACTAGCGACGGACATCTCCACGAAGTCTCGTCGCCCCAACCTTCCATTCATCCACCTCATGGCAATCATTGTCAACTACCTCTGGCACTACATCGCCAACCACCTCTTTGGCAACAAGGAGGCCCTGTTGGCCAAGCTCAGCTTGGTGTGCATCACATCCTTCAAGTCCCTCCTCCGCCAGGAGTGGCGCTCCCTCATGTCCACGCTCACGAGTCACATCCTGGCCGGACGACCAGTCAACATCAAGAATGAGATGGCCGAGTTCACTACCAAGTGGCACCTCAGCACTCGCAACAGCGACATCCGTCTTCCGCCTCTGCCGCCAACTATCAACAAATACCTGGTGGCCGAATTCAGAGGCATACAGTAGAAAAGAAAAGAAAGAAAAAAATCAAGAAAATTCAAAATCGACTAACTTATATGTATTATCCCGCCTCTTCAATGACGCCAATTTATTTGCAATAATAATAAACTTCCACTCTAGTCAAAAAAAAAAAAAAAACGACGGACAAGTCCAACTCCTACTCCGATAGCTACCCTCTCATCAACAGAAGTAGCCCTGTACCTTCAATGGTACCATTTATTAATTCTTCAATTAATAAACTATCCTTATATAAAGTTTAAAATAAAAAAAAAAAAACTAACTAATTGTGCTTGGGAGGTTGTAGATAGTCTTATAATTGTAATATCAACTTAATAGTCCGGAAGATTAAAATCAAGCAAACCGATTTTATTTATTATTAATAATATGGATCTGTAAAAAGAGATGGAGAATTACATTGTTAACAGTTCTGATTTAAATTAATCGACCAATCAAATAAATTCTTTGAAAGAAGACTGCTCATCTTTTTTAAATAATTGCCGACAAGTAAATAGTTTGAAGTGGATAGCACATAATCTCCAACGATGATCCAATCATCTTTGATTACCACTCTTCATTAACTTGGGTTGTGGTTGACAGTGAGTGTGTTGCTCCCTGCTCCCTTCGCCAATGATACAGATGTCTCTTGAATGAATGAGTTATTATTAATACCTGCTGTAGATGATAAAATAGGAGTAAGAAAGTATTGAACTGTATATTTTTTATTCAATTATAATAATATGAATTCCAACAATATATCTATTTTATTAATATTATTTTGTTTATTCATTTTCACCTTTGTTGTAGTAAAAGGAGATTGTCAAGATGTATGTTCAGAAAAGAAAGAAATAATAATATATTATTCATTCTAACTCCATCAACTCATAGAGATGTAGGGATCAGTTCTTTGACTGTGCCAACAATGACAATTCCAAAATAATACCATGCAGTCAAGTCTTTCGTACCTGTATTGCCAAATGTGGAAAGGGTTATAGATGAGGATGAAGATGATGATGTTTGACGTATACAAAGACCATTCAACAACAATGTTGTTGGAATTTATTCAATCGAAAGAAGGCTGGCTGGTAAGACATGTATACAATCTAATATAAATAGAGTTTGGTTGGTTGTGGATAGATGTTATTATTACAATCATCATCGAACTGGGTTTCCTCGCTTGGGTGGTAGGGGAGGTGGCTTGTTTCCTTCACTTGAAGAGCTAAGCGGCGATGTTGGATGCTGATGCTGATGCTGTTGCTGTTGTGTCGGTGAGGCTGGTGCACCACCTGTTGGAGATAGTGCGATTGGTTTACGCTTGGGTGGCAGAGGAGGCGGGGCTCCACCCGATGAGCTGAGTGACGACGATGACATTGAGCGGGAGACCTCAATCGATGCTGGAGCTGCAGAGGTTGCTGGTGCTGCAGGCGTCGATGGAAGAGGTGGAAGGCTCTTCTTTTGTGGCGGTGTTGGAAGTGTCTTGAGGGGTGCTGCTGGCTTTGCCAAAGGTTGTTGTTGTTGTTGTTGGGGTCTGGATGGTAGTTGTTGTGAAGTACTAAGTGACATCACAGGTGATGGTTTGTTGTTGTTGTTGTTGTTGAAGTTGTTGTTGCTGTTTGGTGGGCTGCCCAATGGAGCATTCTGATAGGCGTAGGTGAATCGCTTCGACTCTGGCTTGAGTGGATGAGGAGTTTGTGTTGGGAAGGAGGTCGATGAGGTCAGGTTGTGGCTGTTGACAATCATTGGCAGAGTGATCTCTGGCTCCAATGCCTGTGGCTGAGGTGATATGGACTTGATAACTGGCAGCGTGAACTCGTCTGTCGCCTTGGCGGTCGAGTAGTCGGGAGTGGTTGGTGGCAATATCAGCTGTGGCGGTGTTGATGGTGGAGGTGCGTTGTAGTTGTTGAGCGGCAATTTCGATCGATCCGATGATTGATCGTTTGGTGATTTCTTTACAGGAGGACTGGCTGGCTCCACATGTGGCGTGGACTGGAGCACCAGGTTACAAAAGGAGAGCAGGTTGCTCTGAGACGATGTCTTGGACACGTTGTTTGGATGTGTTGGCGACGAAGGGGCGTAGTGATGTTGAGTTGGCGATGGACTCTGGCCAATCGATGGCAATGCGGGCAGAGTGACTGAGCCATCATTGGTCGATGGTTGGTAGTGGGGCAGGCTGGTGGAAGAGTTGGAGTATGGTGACAATGATACGGCCGGTGCATCCTGGCCGGGCAGTGCTGGGAGAGTGATGTTGGGCATCTCGGACATGGAGTCGTTGACCATGGATCCCTCTGACTCGCTCTCAATATCGGACAGCATTGAATCGTTTTCCCCTGCTGCCAACGATGATGTGTTCTTCGTTGTTGTTGTGTCCTGGGCCACGGACTCTGTGTCTTGAGCATCCTCTGCAGCCGGCTCGTTCTCTTCCTTTCTTGCCGAGGCCACCGACAGATATGAGAAACATGATCGACACACTCTCACTGGCTTGCTATGATTGTCCAACTTGAATGATTGATCAGAGCACTTGCCACATACTACATTTCCACATCTTCTGCAGTGATGCTAAATTCATTCATTAGTTAGTTGTTGTTGTCTGATTGACCCGACTGAGTCATTGCCCTCACTACATACCCTTCTTCTAATGGCCGTGAACTTTGAATTACACTCCATGCATTGGACCGCTTCGTTGTCTGGAATCCAGACTGGAGCAGTGGTGGACTTCTCCTCCTCACCACTCTTTGGAAGGATCATCTTGATGTTACTGTACTGTCTATTCATTCTCGCCACTGATCCCTCATTCTGTGACAAGAACTTCAACTGTAGCTCCAATGCAGTGATCCAATTGTTCTTCTCCAAGTCATTCTCGGCAAACACCGTGAATGACTTTGTTGTATGAATGATCTGGAATGAGAACTTGTACTCTATATGATGATTGTTAGTGGCGTCGTCATGGATGGTGGAACACAATTGATTGATACATACTGGAATCTTTGTCATCGAGGTTGACGATCTTGGAGTTGGCAAGTGGTAGCAAACGATGGAACTTGTATATTGGGTTGGCAACTGTTGTCTCTGTCTTTGTTCCATAGACAAGGGCATCACTGAATAGTATGAACCATCTCTTCTTTGGTTCCTTTCGACATATCTTGGTCAGGTATCCCTCACGAACGAATGCCCTAAGTGGTGCAAGTAGTGGCTAAAGGTGCATGTGATGTACTGTGTCAGTTGTGGACGATCCAAGGGAGGGGGGGAGGGGGGGGGGGAAGG